GCACCTCATAGACACTGTTGCATCTGTCAGACACTGTTGCATCTCATAGACACTGTTGCATCTCATAGACACTGTTGCATCTCATAGACACTGTTGCATCTGTCAGACACTGTTGCATCTCATAGACACTGTTGCATCTCATAGACACTGTTGCATCTCATAGACACTGTTTCATCTGTCAGACACTGTTGCATCTGTCAGACACTGTTGCATCTCATAGACACTGTTGCATCTCATAGACACTGTTGCATCTCATAGACACTGTTGCATCTGTCAGACACTGTTGCATCTCATAGACACTGTTGCATCTCATACACACTGTTGCATCTCATAGACACTGTTGCATCTCATAGACACTGTTGCATCTCATAGACACTGTTGCATCTCATAGACACTGTTGCATCTCATACACACTGTTGCATCTCATAGACACTGTTGCATCTCATAGACACTGTTGCATCTATCAGACACTGTTGCATCTCATAGACACTGTTGCATCTCTCAGACACTGTTGCATCTCATAGACACTGTTGCATCTGTCAGACACTGTTGCATCTCTCAGACACTGTTGCATCTGTCAGACACTGTTGCATCAGTCTCTCACTGTTGCATCTTTCATTGACTTTTTTATCTCTCAGGAAATATTTTATCTCTATAATATTTTTTATATCTCCCAAACTTTTACATCTTTCTGATTAATTTTTTTATCCTTTTTCATTCTGTTCTGTATATCGAATCTTTATATAACAAATAATTAAATAGTTTCTCATATTTATTAACTATTTTTATAAACAATAATCATACACATTTTATTCATATAAATATTTTTTTCACAAACCATTTTTCCTCTTCCTTCTTACAACAAAATCTGGATCTCTTTCCTTGTCTTTATTATCAAAAACTTCTTCGATAATTTTTGAAATCATGTCTTTGTTTTGCTGATATTCATCTGATTCTTCCGGAAGATATGCATTACTTAATGCCAAATCTATCACTTCTGGATGTGTTTTTCTTAATGATGATATATAATGAATTGCCTGAATTGTATCATAATCGATGTTCATCCCAAGATTAAACATGAAACTTGTTGCCTTGTCAATTGACGGAAGATTTAAAATGCGTTGAACAAGACTTTTAACTCCTATATCTGGAGTTACTTGTTCTTCATACAAGTAAATTTCGTTCTCAACTTTGGTTGTAAATGTTTTCCGAGCCGAAATTTTGCATTGTTCATTTTTCCGATCACCCTTTCCTATCGGATTGTCTTCATCATCATAAACTAGAATATTCTTCGAACTATTGAATTCCAATTTTCCAATATGAAATGCTTTAGGTTTTTCTAAATCGGCCGGTTTTACATCTAAGATGTTATGAATACATGGAATATGAACACCATATAGTTTATAAACATTTTCCATGTTGCAGTTGCATTTACAATGCTGTTCGACTTTATTTTTAATTGCCGAAATTTTCAATTTTCTATAAAGTTTCATTATATTATCATTTTTTGGATTATGTTTGAGTGGCTTTAGATGTATGAGTGGTTTTCAATGTCAGTGTGGATCAAGATGTCTGGGAATAAAAGTAAGTCGTAGGTTAATATAAGTTTGATATTAATGTAAGTATGACTTGAAATGTAAGTCTCGGACGAAAGTAAGTCTGACTTGAAATGGAAGTCTCGGACGAAAGTAAGACAGACTTGAAATGTAAGTCTGACTTGAAATGGAAGTCTCGGACGAAAGTAAGTCTGACTTGAAATGTAAGTCTCGGACGAAAGTAAGTATAACTTGAAATGTAAGTCTCGGACGAAAGTAAGTCTGACTTGAAATGTAAGTCTCGGACGAAAGTAAGTATAACTTGAAATGTAAGTCTGACTAGAAATGTAAGTCTCGGACGAAAGTAAGTCTGACTTGAAATGTAAGTCTCGGACGAAAGTAAGACTGACTTGAAATGAGAGTCTGACTTGAAATGTAAGTCTCGGACGAAAGTAAGACAGACTTGAAATGTAAGTCTCGGACGAAAGTAAGTCTGACTTGAAATGTAAGTCTCGGACGAAAGTAAGTATAACTTGAAATGTAAGTCTGACTTGAAATGTAAGTCTCGGACGAAAGTAAGACTGACTTGAAATGTAAGTTTCGGACGAAAGTAAGACTGACTTGAAATGTAAGTTTCGGACGAAAGTAAGACAGACTTGAAATGTAAGTCTCGGACGAAAGTAAGTCTGACTTGAAATGGAAGTCTCGGACGAAAGTAAGTCTGACTTGAAATGGAAGTCTCGGACGAAAGTAAGTCTGACTTGAAATGTAAGTCTCGGACGAAAGTAAGTATAACTTGAAATGTAAGTCTGACTAGAAATGTAAGTCTCGGACGAAAGTAAGTCTGACTTGAAATGTAAGTTTCGGACGAAAGTAAGTCTGACTTGAAATGTAAGTCTGATTCTAAATGTAAGTTCTAGACTAAAGTAAGTCTGATTCTAAATATAAGTCTGATATTAAGATAAGTTTGTAACTAAAATTAAGTCTTATTCCAAAAGCAAATTTAATTGTATAATAAGTCTGGATCTAGAGTAAGCCTTAGTCTACAGCTATTCTGTGTCAAAAATAAGTCACGAACCATAGTAAGTTTCGGACTAGAGTATGTCTGTAATTCGAATCATTCATATTCTTCAATTATCCCGCCAAAAAAATTATCGTCTTTTTATCATACCATAGTTTTTATCAATCTCGTTCTACTAAAAAACCTTTATATTGGTGATTTCTTTGTTAAACCCGTATTTTTTCATGTGAATCTTATTGTATAAACTCTAAAAGTTCAATTTCCGGTCGAAAAAAACTTGAAAACAATTTGTATTCGACGAGTTAAAGAGCTCTATTTATTCTAAATTTTCCAAAAAAAATTAGATTTCGTTTTTTCGCTTCAAAAAATGTTGTTTTAAGTTTTAAAATTTGTAATTCAAAATTTTTTTGGAAAGATTTACGATTTTTTAATACTGCGAATGAGTTTTATTTTACATACTCTATTGATAAATCATATTTTTGTCGAGATATAACTTTTTTTTAAAAAAATTATATGCAAAGAGTGTTATAGAATTCTAGAAGGTATAGTGCATAATTTGAAGTATACTATCAAATAAAGAAATTTTACAGTTTTTTAGTTTTATTTAGATGTACGTTATTTTAGATGGCTTCGTCGAAAACAAAGCATGTCTGTTAAGTTTATTCTTAACATGGTAAATAAAATGGCAACGAAGCCCAGTGTACTGCGTCTTATGCCGTAGTTTTTGTTATCTTCATACTCAAATACAACAAATACAAATAGATTTATTACGAAAAAACGTATAAAACAAATGATATATTTATTTCTAGACAAGTTGACGAACATGTAGCGCAGCTGTATCGCTTTAGAGAACAATTCTTCCAACACCTACTCATTCAGTGAAAGATTTAAGAAGAACTCTTACTCGACCTTAACTACCTACGCTTTGCTTGAACAATTCCCAACGAGGTTACTATAAGGTTGCAAGTCTTGTCAAAATGTAGTATGCAATACGTTGGGGAAAAATAGATATATACGAACAAACTACTACAGTCTAGCAACTAGTCTTTAAGTGTAATGTATTTTTGCTACAAAGAGCTCATAACGAAGTCAAATTTTGCAATTTGATGTCAAAACTAGCTAGTTGTTGAATCAAATAGCGTTGTGACTTTGTATACATCACGATCTTGTGGTATCAGAGCTGTACTGCTGCAGACTAATTCAACTAAACATGAGCAAGATTGGGATTTCTATTCTCTGGGGTGCGAGGCTCGTCCAAAGTTCAAGCAGCTACAGTGTTTTGGATCACCTAAAGAACTTTGGGAATTCAGTTATTACGTAAATTTCTCAAGATGAACTTGAGAGCAGCGCAGTTATAACGAAAGTCTCTGATGAAAGGCAATGATTTCTTTCATGAATGATCTAACGTTAGCTTGAAATCAGGAAAAGAGACTATTGATGACTTACTTTCCATCGATGGTGTACAACAGCAGGGAGGGGATTGGTGGGTTTGGGGAAATTCGCTGAGGCACTAGTGTCCGGATTGTTCGTCAAATAGGTTTCCTTTCCTATAAAGAAATGACACTTTTTTGGCGGCTTATTGACTCAGAAAAATTTGAGAGTTAACGAATAATTTTGGCGCCAAAAATAATTTCTCTTAATTTATTAAATTTAATATACGCACATCCATAAGTTATGCTATTTTTTCTATTTATTTTGTTCTAAAATTCTAAATATTTTTTTTTCATAACATAAAATATGATGTCTAGTCTCATTTACATAACAACATGCCTTAGAATAGGTTTTTTATTCTTTTTGTCACTTTAAATTAAGAATAAAAAGATAATTTAAATTGAATATTTGCGATTATTCTCACTAATGCTGCTTCCTCTTTTATTAGGTAGACGACAAAAAGTTAGCCTTGGACTCCCATATCAGATTTTTGATTGGTTGCGTATATAATGAGCTGGGATTGATAGACGAAAACCCAGTGAGAAAATTTTTGACGCCAATAACTTGATCAATACCAAATGATTTTTTAACTAGTAAATAAAGTATTTTCTTTACACACACATTGTATATCATAGTTTTTTTTTGGTTTCGCAAAACATCCAAAAACAAATATGCTATAAAAGTGACAATTTTAGCAAAACGAAACCCTTATTTAAATTCCTGCTGTATTAGTTTAATAGCTTTTTTGGGAGAATAACAAATTGGTTTTAATTTTAATTTTTTTAGAATTTGAAAGAAAACCTTTTGTAATTTCACCTAGTCAGCGTATTCTAGGAATGTTCTTGATAACATATTTATCTTCTTAATTTCTAAATCACACGACTATTCCACTAAACCTCCAAATACGGTGAGGGTTTTTTGAAAGAAACTCAAATTGAGGGGCAGGACTTTTGAGAGGAAAAAAATTTTAAAACGAATATCAGCGTAAAAGTGACACTTTGATTTTTTGATCGATGAAAACTGCTTTCCAAGTTGCCATTGCTGCTCTTAAACTTAAGCATAAGCAAGTATCAAGTCTAATGCGTTCGACAGATAATCAACTTTGGAGAAATTTGGAATACGGCGATAAATCAAAAATTATTGAGCTCGCTCAAAACTATGACATGTACAGACAGCAATTCGAAAAGCTCGATGATGGACAGAGATACGCCCAAGACGTAGACGCCAATATTAACCAAATCGAAAATGGAAAATGTTCAAAATCTCTTCAAAAGAAATACAACAAACTCGCGGCGTTAAAGAAAATCGTTCAATCTGATGATTACGAGCGATTTTTCATGACATATCCTCCGTCAGAAAGGTTAGAAACTCAAATTATTAAAATCCCTGAAGAACGAATACCAGATTTTATAAGAACATACATGGTTGAGAGCAAGGTTCAGCCTGATATTTTCAACCGTGTGTGCAATGAGTTTCCTCTCCCTCAAGTTGAACAACAAGTTCTATATCAAGGTGGACAATTCCAACCAGCCCAACCTACCCAGCCAATAGCTCCAATTGCTCCAATTCCACCAATTAACTATCCTACAATCCCTTGCTAAGCTTTCTATCTAAGCAGTGTAATGTTAAATTCCATCTATACTAACTTCATTTGTTTTTTTAAATATAACCAGCTATCGTTTTAATTATTTATTATCAATTGATTAATATGAGAGATTAAAAAAATAGTTTGGAAAATATTTTTTGGCAAAACCCTCGATAATACATAAAAATAAATATTATGATGCAAATAAGCATAGCTATATTGATAAAACAGCATATTTACATAACAAATTATAACAAATCAAAATTTCAAACATATAAAGGCTTCTGCTTGAGAGGAAGTTGAAGAGCAACAGGAGCATGGCTGTATTGCTCTTTGCCAGTCAAATATAAGATTCCAAGAAATCCTGCACCGACAACAATTACTAATACGACAAATCCCGCGTAGTTTTTGATATTATTGTTCCTCTTTATCCTTACTTCGGTTGGAGGAGGTGCATTTTTCTTCTTATTTGCTGAATCTAAATCTTGAGCAAATTTAACCGGATTAGGAACATCATCGTGAAGAGGAGCCTGATAATTATATTTATCTGGAACCAATTGATCCTGTGGAAGTGGAATATGACCGTAATTTCTTGGATTTTGGTTAATAAAGTCTGCAATTTTCTTCAAATATAAAGCATCCGGACAAATAACTATTCTTCTTGAATCAATCACAAACGTTTCATTACTCTTACATATGTGAACTCCTCCATATGAAAAAGTAATATGAGATAAATTATAAGAGCTTGAGAGACACATTACTTTCTTTTCTCCTTTGATGATTACGTTGAACGCCCATTCGCTAAACTTACAAAATTTAGTCGGACGGAGTAAAGGTAAATAATCATGAGATGGATACCTTGTAACATTAAATTTCAGCTTCAAAGGCTGTGAATTATTTGTTGTATTATCAATTTGACTCTGATTATTTTTGAAATTATTTTTATTAGCAGAGTTGTCTTTTTCGGAGTCAATTTCGGATTTCTTTGAGTTCATTTTATCACCTTCTATCGGAAGATATAAATTTCCATAAGATGTCAAATTAAATTCATCTGATTCTTCATCGAATTCCTTGGATTTATGCTTACCATATGATCTTAGGTCAATGGACACTGTATCAAATCCTGATTGGAATTTAAATTGATCAGGAATATGTTTCCATGAAGGTTTTTTGAAGAAATCTTCATTTGCATTGAATTCTACAGTTCCCCAAGGCATCGGTTCGGCCATAGTCCATTCAACAGAGTAAAATCCCATATCTTCAATAACAGCAAGGGTAACTTCACTTACGACAGCGTCATAAGTAACCATTTGTGCTAAAACATCCTGTCTGAATATTGTACCTTTCACATGGACTCTTCTATCTCGAGTTTCTCCATTTTCTTCCATTGGCAAACATCCTGTTTGGGAATTTGATCTTCTTCTAAAGACTTCTCTGGCTTTTGGTGTGCAAAGTTCATAAAATACTTTATTCTTGTATTCAGGATATGTGATGTTGACAATTGGATGAGTTTCATATGGAAATCCTGTTTTACGATCGACCCATTTTGGAAAACAATCTTCATTGAGGCCTAATGCATGTACAATTTCGTGGAACAAGAGGAGAAAGAAGTATCTATTGGTTTGATATGGTATAACTCTTGGGTTTAATATCAAAATTGATTGTAAAGGTCGTCCATTTCTATGGAATTGAACATTTTTGGTAATAGCAATTGTTTCATCTTCAAATGGTCTAACCAATATTGTAATCTTATGATCAGAAGAAACAGTATTATTATTTTCTTTAATTCGAATAGCATTTGAATAGTCATTATATGCATTATAGTTATGCCTTTGATGATTCACTCGAATTATAGTTGTAAAATAGTTAGTAAGGTTTTGAATTGTGTTGTATAATGCTGATAGTTTTTCATCTGTCAAAATATCATGTTTATCGCATTTGTAATCATTTGCATATCTCCAATTTATAACTTGTTCGTCATCAATACAACGAAAAATATCATCATCAACTAAAAGTTGAGAAATATCATATTCTATAACAATTGGATTTCGATCTATATCTCTTTCTGTTAAAAGAGGCATTCTTGGTCCTACATATTCGCCATAAATATGTCGAAAAAGGAGGAAAATCAAAACCAAAAAATTGACAGATTTTAGATTTTGTCTTTTCAATGTTAAAAGAATAAGGTTTATAATGAGCAAATTAGTTGCTTACTGAATGGTAGTAGGATATGTGAAAGATCGATGGAAGGAGCCAGCCTTACCTTATTATTTAATTAGACATTTAGTCTAATCAATAAGATTTTCATTTTTTATGAGAACTAGCAATCTAAAACTTATTGAAAATAAGTCTTTATTGTTAAGATACCATTGTGAATGCAATCTTGGCTTTTCTATGAAATTCTATAAAACTAACTTAGATTTTTTATAAAACTTAAACATGTATTATGCTTTTCAGGATTCGGCAATTCATTCGTTTTCTGTCTCGTACCTACACCATCTTTATCAAAGCTGGATATTAGATCAATTTTGATTTTGTAATAACAAATTCTACATACAAGCATAAATAATAAGTATTATTCATATTTTGATGTATTACATTAATTGTGACAATTATTTATAAAATAATATGATATTGAAAAGAATTTTATGGATAATTTTACAAAATAACATTATAGAGCATGATTGTTTGTACCATTGTACTAGCTAGAGTATTACTTTTATATATTCAGTTTCCAGATGATATTTTTCGAGAAAAAACATTAAGTTGGAAATTAGCATCAAAACCAATAGTTATCAGCAAAGTAATAGTAATGTGTATGACTTTTACATCTAATTAAATGTATTAAATGAGAAATCATTCAGGCAAACCCAAATTTTAGCTAAAAGTGACAGGGGGAAAAAACGTTTAGTATTAAAAAAAAGACCGATGAGAGCTTCGTTCGAAATATAGAGGGAACTGAGAATGCGCAACCATTCTCAGGGAATATTGGATGCTATTCCCGTTCCCTCTGTATGGAAAATTGAGGTTTTCAAAGGGAGTTAAAATAATATCAAATTTATACTAATTTACTTCAAAATACAAAAGTATTTGACAGCTAAAATTAGTTACTTTAGCAAGCCTATCAATACCCTTTTACGATTATTGCTACTTTTTCGAAATAAAAGTAAAAACAAATTTATACTAATTTACCCAGATTTTCCTTACTTTTACCACCCCTCTAAAGCTGGGGACACCGCCTATCGTTGGGAGTAGCTATTAAATAGAACCACCAAGGGTATTTTTCGAACTGCCGGTGTAGTGTAGTGGAAACATCTGACATAATGATTCATTGTGCCAAGCTTTTATTCCCATTTAGCTAATTTTTTTCTTTTTTGGATCATGAATTTTTTTTTGGGTCACTATAAGATTTGTTTCATGTTCTAAATCTGCTGCATATGTAATCTATTTTTATTTACCTATTTTTTAAAAATCTATTGGATTGCCAAATTTGAATATATTTAAAATCATAAAAATCCAAAAACTATAAATATATGTTTTATGCATAGTGCCGATACTCAAATATCAGATCACTTAGATCCATGAATAATATCCGAATTTTTTTTCTTAAAATTAAACTTCAAAACTTCTTGCAATCTTATTCTTAATCAATTGTAAATTTTTAAAACCATTTTTTAAAATAATTTTGCGTAAATTTTATTCTCATGTTGTTTTAATCGAAAATTGATACATTTTCAAAAAAATAATATTGACTTATGAAATTCATTTTTAAGGTGAAATAGTATTGTTTTTATTAAAGTATATGAATAATATATAAAAAATTAATGAATAATATAAGCAGATTTTTAGTTTACAAAACAAATATGAGCAATGCAATTTCAAACTTTTGCTGGCAATTTCGATATTGCTCAAGTTTGTAGTATTTGTGATACTTATAACATCGGCTTAATCAAAATTCGATTTTTCTTATGAGTTATTGAGAAAATTTGATTGCAATGAGAAGGATTTCGACGTTTTTGATAAACTAAGAGCTGAGCTTTAGGGGTTCAGTTCATTTATGGCTGTAGTTTGATGCGTAGATCTCTTTTTTATTGTAAATTCTTTCAGCATGGAGATCGAGAATGAATCTTTTGAGAACTTTATGAGTTTTTACACCCGTAAAGAGGTCCTTCGAGGAAAGATAGTCCAGACTACATGAAGATGTGGGTTAACCAAAAAAATCCGATGGTTTCCCCATATTCATGTAGATCTTCGAAAAAATGAGCACCAAAAAAGCCAAAAAATAGGCTTTTTATTGGATTTGTACACTAGATCAATAATCTATTTAGGATCTGACACTCTTTTTAGCCAGAGATATGAGGTCCTTTCTAGGAAAACGATCTATTCATCCATAAAAAAAATGAATTATCGTTTTCCCCAGAAATTACATGGGGAGTGGTAAAAGTAAGGAAAATCTGGGTACTTCAAAATACAAAAGTATTTGACAGCTAAAATTAGTTACTTTAGCAAGCCTATCAATACCCTTTTACGATTATTGCTACTTTTTCGAAATAAAATAAATTTATTATCAAAAACCTTTTTTTTCTTAGTAAAAATAAACGAAATTTTTTACCTTATGAACTTTTGATGGAAATATGCAAATTTAAAATAATAAAGAAAGCCGCGAGCGAAGCGATCGGCTTAGTTCGAAGATTTTGATTCAAATCTTTGCTTATATTCCTTAAATTCTTTATGAAACTCGCAACAGTTCCATAAAAAATTTTAAATTCTAAACTGTCGAAATTACCGATCGGTAATCACACTCTTCACGGGTGTGTCACTTTTAGCTAAAATTACCCCTACTCAAATCATTCATTTGTCAATAAAATTATTGGCACAGAATTACGAAATTGAAGAATTAGCTTAAGCACTCATCTTTGAAGTACTGATTCAAATCCGCAGTAAGTATGAATTAAATTGAATTAACTTGTGGTCGATCATATTTTCACAAAAAAGAATCAATTCAATTTTATTGATATTTTTTGAATTGTTTACAAAATCGGCACAAAGATTCATCTTTTAAAATCTCTGGATATCGTTACCTTTTAACCAATTTCTAAAATTGAATGGTAAGAGAATTGATAAAAGCCAGAAATTTTGAATTAGAACGAAGCATATTAGTATCGAGATAGCATGTATTTTTTCAACTGAAAATTCTTGTTTTAGAAAGACCAAACACTCACAATTTTTGAATTAAAGTAAAATTTTTGATGTCTGTATTAATAATCTGGCTATACACATAAAATCAATGCCGATTTAAATCAAATTAAGAAAATACGAAAACGATGGCATACGTCCAGTTTTTGTTTGAATTTAGACGGTTTTAGATTGTGATTTCTCCATGCAAAAACGTTATCTATGCATGTTAATAAGCATATATTATAATCTTTTTAATTTCGGTTTCTTTGAAAAATTAAACACAAAAGTGGCCACAAATTGATAGGAGTTTTGGTCTCTATCTTGTGTAAATAGAGCCATTACAGTATTAGGAAGCATCTCCTAGATATGTGTTCATCATTTGAATATGCACTAACAAACAATTGAATGAATAATATTTGAAGTTCAGACGGGCTCTCTCAAATCCTCTCAAAATATTTCTGTTCAAAATTTTTTTATTTTATTTGACGAATGCTTGCAACACCAAACTTCGCTCAGCTTCAGAAATGCCATATGGAATACTGCCAGCTCGATGATATGCAGCTATCTACAGATCCATTGGTTCTTCAATTATCTTTTCCAGATCAATGTGAGTTCCTCAGATTGTCTGCCTACTTTAAGTTCGCATCCGATAGAAATAAACGCAACATGGCTCTTAACACATTCCAAAAGCACATTATGCTTATACAAAACTTTGTTTGCCGTGGAGACTACACCGACTTCGATCGCGGAGTTGCCTGTGGTGTTCAATTCGGACCAAACTACATGCTCGTTAATACAGAAAGACTGAAAATCTTTATGGGTCGCTCTAAGTCTTGCCTCAACGGCTGCTTCCACAAATGCGGTTATTATCATTCAAGAATCTTAACTGAAGATAATCAAATCCTTTCCGAATTTTCCAGAAAGTTCGGAAGACAGCTTCCAAATCCACGCCGCTGGTGCATAAGATCCAACGATCCAAAGATCGCTGCTCCATCTTCTGATGCCCAATCAGAAAGTGACTTGGAGATTGAACCAATAGATTGTGTATTTAATGTTTCTTCTCTCCTTAATAGAAAGTCCGAATCCATATAAGCTTTTTTCTTGTTTTCATGTTATTTATTTGTTAGTATTCATTATCTAAATGAAATTTTAGAATAAATTGATTTTGTTGCGATGTATTTATTTTATTTTTGTCTGAAAAGTTCAATGTTTAAAATATGATCGTTCTCCAAGTTGGAAATGCCAGAAATTTTTTGGAATTCCCAAACGCTTTGAAAATATCAATTTGATATCATCGTCAGAACCATTTCATGATAAATTTTTCTATCGGCACGAATATAAAAAATTTATTAAAAAATTTTCCCAAAAATCTAATGTTATTTTATCAAATATATATATACTGATGCTATGGGTCGTGATAAAACTTATATTTATGTTATGAAATCAAGGATTTTTTCAATTTCTTCAAATTTTATGATATTTAGTTGCATAACATGCTTCTTTATAACCATCAAGATTTCTTTGGATCTTATCAGCTGATTAAAGAAAAAAATAAAGGATCACTTGGAATTTTAACTTTGCAGACTAGAAAAGATAGGTGGTTAATTACATTCCAGCAACACTCTTGGAAAATACCAAATATCAAGATCTTATCTTAATTTCAGCCATGTAAATCAAAAGAATTTTCAGAGGTTTATGAACTAAATTTTGACAAATTTTCTCCATACAATTTTTACTTTTGGTCTGGCTACTTAAATTACGACTATATTAACTAGTATTGCGTTGTATAGGGAAAATGTGCCAGGAAAAATTCCTCTGACTACGACTTTTTGAAACAAACATAAAATTTCAAAGAAATTCAAACAATAATAATGCCATTTATATGCCTATATTAAATATTAATATTTCCATTTCAAAAAGTTGTTGGAAATTTTTTCATTGAATTTAAAGCATAAAATTTTAGCTAAGAAAAAAATGGATGAAAATTTCCAATCATTTTTAACAATGGCTATTTCAGATGAAGTTCCATGCACAATTACAAACTGCAAGCACACTGTTGTATATGGGAATAATAACTATAAAAAGCTTCAGAATTGGGTAAAAGATGCACTTTACAGAATGGATTTCGAAAAGAAAGTAATTATTGCACTTGACTGTGAGGGTTACTGTTTAGGATCTAGACCAAACTCTCTCGGATTAATTCAATTCGCAGAATGTTTCACAAGTGACTTTTTCGAAAAAGATTTCGTTCCAGATCATATATCTATCAATTTAAAGAATGGATTTCTAATTAAAGCTCCATTCTCTAATGGTGTCAAAAAGTTACTATCAGCAGTTTTTAGTCATCCAAATCTTTACATAATTATGTATGATTTCACATCAGATTTAACAGCAATTACTCAGGCAGGGATTAAGGTAAATAAGAGAAATATAGTTGACGGTCAAGCAATCCAATATTTCGAAGATGGGACAAAATATTTCGGTAGAAAGGTCACAAAGAGTTTGAAAACAGCATGCCAGTGTGCAACAAACTGTGTTGAGTTCAGTAAAGCTAAATTTGCACTAGAATATAAAGATACAGTTCCTTTTTCAAAGCATGCTTATGAATTACAAAATGAAAAAGATCCATTTTCTAAAATGTGTACAAATGAGTTCTTACGTTATTCTAGCGATGATATTGCATTGACTGCTATTGCATTAGTTTCAGCACTTAGATTTGTTACCCCTGGACAAATTTTAGTTAATTCTCAGAAGAAAGTCGAAGGTTATAAGCAGTTAGTAGATAGAGTAAATAACGAAATGGGAGCTGTGTTGAAGCGTCAGTTCTCTTTCGTGCCCCGTATTGGTTCGGATTTCGATGATGTCCAGCATTATTATGATTTATGGTTGTCAATTACGAATATTTTGAACAACTATGATATGTATCAGAGTATTGTTAAGAAAGGAAAGCAATACGATAGAGAACATTTAGAAAAAGAGAAAAATAGAGTCATTTCTGTAATTAAATCGAGAACAAATCCTCTTAGTTGCATCATTAATCAATGTAAGTGTCAGAAACAAAACATCTCAATTACATTAGGAAAGGGAGGATTATTTCTCACAACAGGTAATGGCTCTGAATATTCATTGCGTGTTCGTGAAGTATAAAAAATTAAATAATCAAAAAAAAATCTTTTTTTCTTCCGTTTTTATATATCATGACATCCAAATTCTAAGAAAAATTCATAGAATGGTTTAAAAAAACTGAAGTATGTGAGTATATATGCTGTGCTTGATTTCTCTTTTAAAAAGATAAGCTGAAAAGACAAATACGACCTAAATTGAGATTAAATTTTGAGAAATAATTGAATATCATCTTGAATTTAATGTTAAAGTTATATGGTGTGCGATTTTTATTTTGAATCATGAATTCGAAGCCTAAATGTCATAAATGTAAGATCAAAGAAAATTTTTGTCAAAAATTTATGCAATAAGGATCAATGATCAACCTTCATTTTCGTTTTGTTTAACATGATTTATAAAGACTCATACATTTGTTTCGCAAATTGCAATTGGCTAATTAGCTGCTTTACTGCAACAATGTTATAGACCGAAAATAGATTTTTTCGGTTTTCTCTTCAAATAATTGAAAGAATGATACTATTATAGGTTTATTATATTATATAGCATATAATCATGCTATAGCCGAAAATTATAAGTTTTGAGAAGATTGAATATAACACAAACAAATTTGAATGTAAGTTAAATTGCTTGTTGTTTTTAATAGCTATTTAATGAGAAATCCAATATTGCAAAATTCAAATTGAATGATTGAAAGAACAGAAAAAGTCATTCTTTTCAATTTCGAATATGTTTCATTGTATTTATAATTATATGGCAAATAAGATATTTAAACTTGATTTTTGAAGGAAAATTCACAAAATTGAATAAATTCAAATAATTTTTATTCAAAAATAAACTAGTTATTTGAGTTTAATACTAATTATCTATTCAAACTACAAAGTTTGTAATTTAAAATATTTTGTGAGATCAGATTGAATTAATTCAAGGTTCTTTTCAATTAATATTAATGACCATATTACGCATTTTCGAACATTCTAAACCAAATATATAAAAATGGGAGACGAATGTTAAATTTGCTAGACATGGGGGAGTTGTCTGCAAAGTTTTAGCTCTTATCTCTAACAAAAAATTAATTTTTAAAAAAAAAGACCGAATACGTTTCACAGCGAGAAAAAAATAAAAGGCAAGATAGAATTTTCTAGACATAAAGAAGTTGTTTACCGAGTTTTAGCTCTTATCTCTAACAAAAAATTAATTTTTAAAAAAAAGACCGAATACGTTTCACAGCGAGAAAAAAATAAAAGGCAAGATAGAATTTTCTAGACATAAAGAAGTTGTTTACCGAGTTTTAGCTCTTATCTCTAACAAAAAATTAATTTTTAAAAAAAAGACCGAATACGTTTCACAGCGAGAAAAAAATAAAAGGCAAGATAGAATTTTCTAGACATAAAGAAGTTGTTTACCGAGTTTTAGCTCTTATCTCTAACAAAAAATTAATTTTTAAAAAAAAGACCGAATACGTTTCACAGCGAGAAAAAAATAAAAGGCAAGATAGAATTTTCTAGACATAAAGAAGTTGTTTACCGAGTTTTAGCTCTTATCTCTAACAAAAAATTAATTTTTAAAAAAAAGACCGAATACGTTTCACAGCGAGAAAAAAATAAAAGGCAAGATAGAATTTTCTAGACATAAAGAAGTTGTTTACCGAGTTTTAGCTCTTATCTCTAACAAAAAATTAATTTTTAAAAAAAAGACCGAATACGTTTCACAGCGAGAAAAAAATAAAAGGCAAGATAGAATTTTCTAGACATAAAGAAGTTGTCTACCAAGTGTCAGCTGTTACTTCTTCTCAATACTGATATAAAATAAAAATCTTTATTATTTATTTAACCTTTATTGTTTCATTAAACTTCATTTATTTTATATTATAGTTTTATTCTTTTAGCTACTTGTAAAATAATCTAATTTTATATCATCATTTTACCGGATTATTCTTCAGTACATCGATTGTGTATCTAAAATAATATCATTATCCTTATTCTGTTTTTTCCAAAATTCTTTTAAATATCTTTTTTGGTTAGATTACTTTATACTTTTTACTTTTATTTTTTAATTTCAAAAAAAAATTTGGTGATTGTTCTATTCTGTTACAATGTGCATTATCATATTCTAATGAATTATTCATTACATACATTTAAAAAAACTTGTTAAAAATGAAATTAAAAAATTATGTTTATTATTACGCTGTGAATGTGTCAACAGCGGTCATGCCTGTATCTGTATCCCATATTTGCCACAACCTTTCTGTATCTGCATTTGTGTATTTCGGTTTCAGCTGATACATTTGATTTGGCGTGTAATTTGTTCCAGTTAATGGATTAATTGGGAGATCTTCATGCGGTGTGTTATTATTGTACTCCCAAATAAAGGCAGGAATAGCCTGAATGCTTTGGCAGCGCTCCAATGTCGGCCAGAATCTCTTAATCTTCCCATTTTGGTAGGGAGAATGAGAGTCTGTATGCCGCCATTGGACGCCCCAAAGATCAAGTAGATCTTGAAAGGCGCCCCTATTTTCTGAACCGTTGTCGGTCCAGAAACAATAAGGGGCGCCAAATTCAATGAAGGCGGAAGCCGCAACGTTCGCTGTCGTCGCTGCCAGCATATCTGGTATTTGTATACACGCTAGGACTTTGCGGCTAAAATCGTCGATTATGCCATAAATATACTGGCCACGAACACCCCTAAAATAATGAACATCTGCGTGCCAGATAAGATTGGGTGAAAGCGCCCAATATCTTACTGCTGTTTCTGGCCCAGCATGCTCTAATCGCGTCTTGGTGAAATGATTTTCTTTGAAGTATCTGCGTACTTCTCAGTTAGTATACATATCTTCAGTACGGTGGCACTGCGCGCCATCTTACCGAAGATATGTCAATCTGACACTTTACAAAACCACTAACGTATATTTTACATCGCAGATGCAATATTTCTAATAACCTTAAACTATTTCTGCCACGTAAAGTATTTATCACATAAACCACCTCATCTCACCTCTCTGTACGTTATATATTGTGCGCAGGTCATTGCCCATGGCAACTCCCCGCGACACAATGCACGTGCATGAAAAAATAAACGTTCTCACTAACGTTCTCACTAACGTTCACACTAACGTTCTCACTTACAAAAGTATTGCAACTCCTCCCATTGCTGTGCTTCACATAACAGCTCATAATCTTCTGACTCACTTTCTTCTTCATATAGGTCAAAGTCGCTGTCATAATTAATGTTTATAAGTTTTGACAAAGCTAATGAAACACGCTTACCGTTTGTATCTACTGCTTGTATATATCTTCCATTATGTTTGCTATCATAAATGCTTAAACTAACTTTACCCTTTCTCCCTCGTATCTGATAGAATGTATTCTCACGCGGAACGAAGAACAAGTTCTTGAACTCATGACCGTTGTAGTTTGTTATCTCAATAGTTTCGTCATTACATCCAAATAAAAATTTTCAGTAAAAATAAAACTAACGTTAAAAATTTCTCATAACATAAACGTTCTCATTGCTTTATAACTCTCTTCCTTGGTTTCTTTTTAGTTGCTTTCTTCACGTCTGTCTCCAACTTGACTGTCTTTCTTCTTCGTCCGTAATGATACCAGTTACTTCCACCAGTCAATGGGTCAAATGGTCTTTCGTAAGGGTTTCCATACATTCCATAGGGACCATACGGAAGAACTACTGGTGGAGAAGAAACATTTTCTTTAGTTCCATCGAATCTATTTAAATGCATTGTTTCACCTTTCATCTGGTCATTAAAGTCTTTTGCGTGTTTTGCAAACTCATCGTCCTTTCCTAAAGCATTTTCTGACTCAGTCGCAACCAAATTGGATGCTTTATTTATGAGCCCTATTTTATTTAATCTTAACTTCTTTGCAACCCAGCCTCCAATCTTCCCTTTATTTGCATCTAATGTCTTCGAAACCCTTCCTCCACTCATTTTATTTACTGCGTCATAAGCTCCAAGTGCTTTTGCTCCAAATGCTAATGCTTTTGTTCCCATTGCGCCTAAAGCTGCCCAAGCTACCATTTACACCATATTAAAATCATCTCTCTTCAATATTATCTCATAAAAGTTCTCGTTACTGGAGAAAGTCAATGAAACATAAGCATTCTCACGGGCTTCGCCCTCACCGCTTTGCGGTCTATCTAACTTATTTCTTATATCATCTATACGCTTCAAAATGTCTGAACAATTGCTAACATCTTCTACAACAGTTATTTCATCATGAATGACCTTCAAGAACAAGCTCATTTAATATGCAATTAAAATCATTTCAATAATGAGTCCATCCTTTCCATCTTTAGGTAGCACAACATCTTTCATTGAAGAAGGTTCGACAAGTCTTATGTTAAACTTACTGACAAAGTTTGTTATACTATAATGCTTCGGTGGCGAATACATATAGTTTGAAAGACATAATATAGATTCTTCAGCAAATTCACTTATACTGGATTTTATAACAATGTTCTCACGAGACCAAATACCACCAATTGACAATCTTGTAAGCAATCCTGCTGAACCTTCTACCGTAAACGTCGATGGTAACATTCCACGAAGGTCATCTATTGACATCTTTGAGTCACTGAATTTAAAGATTTTCTTAAAGCAATCGTCATTATCTAACCATGCAATAGCTTTGAAGTTTTCATTCGAATATACATCTGCTTCATTAAATGTAAAACCTGACTTCTTTGCAGAGACGACTTTAAAATCTATTGAGTTTGTTTCAAAATTATATGCTATGGTAACTTCTGAAGGTAATGGATGTCCTTCCGCAGTCAGTTGTTCTCTCACTACCGTTTGAAGCTTTGTATTAAAAACTTTCATGTCATCTCCTGTATCTAAGTTCACATACACAGCAACAGGGAAACTATCTTGCTTCTTTGTTTCATCATTATATCTCAAAACATTAAAGTTCTTCAATAATATTGTTCTCTTATATACGAAAAAAGGAGATTTGACAGAATGTCAAATCTCCTCAAAAGTGACAGTTTACATGGCAAACAATTGCGAGCAATTTTTAGCCATTTTGGCTGAGAACTAGGGTCTGCGAGGTACATATATAGAATCAGTACCTCGCAGACTCTAGTACTCTATATGGCGCCGAGAAATTTTGGTGAAATGCGACGACATTTCACCAAAATTTTCTCGACGCCATAGGATGAATTGGAGTGTGTGAGATACTATTACATATAATAGTACTCACACCCTCCAAAACCTCGAAAATCTCAAAATTTCCTGTAATTATCATCAACTTTGCATAGCACAATCGGCCAAAAAATCATTCAATTGTCCTTCTTCTCAATATTTCTTAACTCTTTCGATTTCTTTCAAAATATCTTTCAATAATCTTTCAATGATAAATATTATACAAAAACGATTAGTATGAAACTTTTTTGCATTTTAAAAATATTTTATATTTCTGTTTTTATTTCAATTTTTATATTTTTATTTTCCTTTTTTTAGATGAAACTTATTTGTTTACCTATATTCCTTATTTTATAAAATTTTTCAATTGAATACTACAATAATTTTATCTCTCCTTTATTAAATTTTCGATTTTTTGTTAATTCTAATTCTTTGCACTATTTCTTGTCTAAATCTTCTAAAATTTTTATTTTAATTTAATTTGACACATAATCATCCTTTTAATTTTCGATTCAAATCCTTATCCTCTTCATTATTTTTCAATAATTTTTTTATCGTAATTTGTAAAATTCGTTCTTTTATAGCTGTTTAAATAATCCAAAACCATGATATTTATTATTGTTAATTATTCCTAATCATGTTTTTCCCATTAATTTTAATTTTTTATTTTCTGAACCATTTAAATTAATTTTGTTAAGAATATTTTTTCAATATAGACTTCTGAAATAATTAAATTATTCTCAAATTCTCACAAATTATTTCATTTCAAATTTGTTTAAAATGAATTTGTACACCTTAGTTGATTCAGCTTGGCTTGAAACAGCTCTAGCACAGATTCAAAGGCGCACACCGTTAGCCATTGTTCTCACAAATGTTCCATTAGTCAACAACACTATTCGTTCATCAATTAACAAGATAACATTTTACAAAGCTCTCTTATGTAATAGACTAATTACTATTGAAGAGTACTTACATCATACATACAAACTTCAAGAGTTTACTACTTTCTACATTAAATATAATAATCGACTCTACGAGTGTTCATCCATTTTGAAACACAGAGATGACACTCTCCTTACCGATTATTTGATATTACAAAGTTCAAACGACTCTCGTATACAGGAAGAACCCTCATCAGCCAGCACTCCTCTACAACGCCAGCTTTCATCAGCCAGCACTACCAACTCTGTTCCACAGCAACAGCTCTCAACAGCCAACGCTCCTCTACAAAGCCCACTTTCTGCCAACACCCCGCCACAACGCCAACTCTCTGCCAACGCTCCTCTTCAACGCCAGCTTTCATTAGCCAGCAGTACCAACACCCCCCACAGCCACAACTCTCTGCCATCACTCCCCCACAACGACAGCTCTCTGCCAACTCTCTTCGACAGCAACAACTCTCTGCCAACACCCAGACACAACTCCAGCTCTTGGCCAACTCTCTTCCACAGCAACAACTCTCTGCCAACACCTCGGCGCAGCAACAACTCTCTGCCAACACCCAGACACAACGCCAACTCTCTGCCAACGCTCCTCTTCAACGCCAGCTTTCATTAGCCAGCAGTACCAACACTCCCCCACAGCCACAACTCTCTGCCATCACTCCCCCACAACGACAGCTCTCTGCCAACTCTCTTCGACAGCAACAACTCTCTGCCAACACCCAGACACAACTCCAGCTCTTGGCCAACTCTCTTCCACAGCAACAACTCTCTGCCAACACCTCGGCGCAGCAACAACTCTCTGCCAACACCCAGACACAACGCCAGCTCTCTGCCAACTCTCTTCCACAGCAACAACTCTCTGCCAACACCCAGACACAACTCCAGCTCTCTGCCAACACCCCTCTTCAGCGCCAGCTCTCTGCCAACACCCCTCTTCAGCGCCAGCTATCTGCCAACACTTCGGCACAGCAACAACTCTCTGCCAACACTCCCCCACAACGACAGCTCTCTGCCAACACTCTTCCACAGCAACAACTCTCTGCCAATACTCCTCTTCAACGCCAGCTCTCTGCCAACACTCTTCCACAGCAACAGCTCTCTGCCAATACTCAGCCTCAGCCTCACCCATCTGTGTCTATTCCCCTTAAGCGCGGGAGACCCAAAGTTAATGTACCAAAAGATCTTAAGGTAACTATTAGAAACCTAATTGAGCAGCATGGCCATCTTGGAATAATCTCTGCCTATAACCAAATAAATAAAGATATCGAATATGCCAAATCTCATTTTGAGGCATTTTTGGACATGAAGACGGGTATTGTTCCACAGCCAACGCCTACCCAAGCATGGTTCTCCGCTATTGAACGTTTTAAGCCCCTAAATCAAATTTCTTCCACAATTCCTTCCGGACTTATGATTGAAGAGTCTCCATTATCATTTCCATCTGAGCTGAGGAACATTAAATATCTTACAAACCCTCTTCCACATCCCCCCTCAAGACATATGGTAGAAAGAGCTTTTAGAGAGCTAGGCTTGGCACGTCCAAGGGGACCCTATCGGCCAAAAGGAAAGACAAGATACTTAGCTGCCTTTCCTAACCAAATATGGCACGTTGATATCCACTTTCTTGGCAAAAAGAGAAGTCAGATTCTTTATGCTGTGATTGATGACTGCACAAGGCTCATCATAGAATGGCAGCATCTTTCGTCAAAACATGCTAGCCAAACAGTGAAAGTAATTAAGAGAGCAATAGCCCGTTATGGACCACCACATACAATTTGGTCCGATAATGGCGGCGAGAATAAAGGCGAGTTCCTAAAGGCTATGAGGGTTCGGGGATCAATAATGTATATATTGTCCCCAATTGTCCATACCAAAATGGGAAAATCGAGCGCTTGTGGCCTAACATAGAGAGCAGAGAGTTGTCATGGGCAAAGATTCAACAATGGGTTGAGTACTATAATGCTAAACCTCATCTAGCATTACCAACTCATTATGTGAATGGAAAACAAATTCACTATAGCCCATCTGAAATGTGGAAGAAACTTCCAATTTGGAAGAGGGGAATGCCGGCAAAATGGATTGTGGATGGAGTCTCTCAAGATTTTCTTCCAGGTTCACTTATGGCCAATGAGATGCCAGAGCTCCAAGGAATCGAAGAAGATGAATGGGAAAAAGAAGGCGAGGAAGTTGAAGAAGAAGAAAATAAGGCGAATCCGGTTGAAATAGAAGAAGATAGTAATGAAGAAGAAGAATACGAAGTAAATTATGAAGAAGAATATCAAGAAGATTATGAAGACCCTTATGAAGAAGATTATGATGATTCATTTTAATATTACGAATAAAATGTCACTTTTTCTATTTTTGACACGTAAAGTTGTCACTTCTCTGTCAAACAGTTTTTATCGTTTTCGTATATAACAGTTCTTCCTGCTGGAATACTTCGAACCTGTCTTATTTCAATAGCTTTCTCACCTCCTACATACTCTACCCAGTGTCTTGGATATTCATAAGTATACTGACTTTCTTGAATTTTGGTAGGTTTCATCATAACATGTTCATAGTATATCTTTATACTCTTGTCAGTTAGACTCGGTGCTATGTTCTGAATATTTCTGACTTGCATTTTTAATGGAGATAAAATGAAGCATTTAATACATGACGTAGATGAAGACATGAATGAAACTACAGACAAACTTAACTCTTCTCTTATTCTTCCTTTCAGCAAAGATTATGAGTTCTGTTCAAATGGTGTTTATTTCTATTGTGGAAAGATGGGGTCAGGAAAGACATTTAACCTCATTCGTCATATACTCATAACAGAACGTTTAGGAAATGACTCATATTATGACCAAATCATTATATCAGCAACTTCAGACTCTATGGACTCAACAGCGAAAACATTTATGTCAAAAGTTCAAGCCTCTGTCGTTAAAGTTCCAGACAGTGAACTCATTGAATTTCTTCAACGTTACATTCGACGTAAGAGGAAATATTATGCCATCGTTGAATTTATACAGTCAGGAATGCAAAAGACTTCTGAGGAGATGGAAAGAATTATTGACAAACACCACTTACGTCAATACTCAGGAGTTTACGATATGAAACGACTTACAAACTACATTCTGTCAAAACTTTCAAAATACCCCTTCAAAAAGTATCCTTCAAACACTTTATTAGTTTGTGACGACTTCGCTGGTAAAGGTTTAGTGTCAAAACCAGACTCACCATTAGCTAACATCATTACTAAAGTCAGACATTACCATTTAACTGTAGCAATACTTATGCAAACATGGAGGTTTTTAGCTTTAAACATAAAACGTCTCATAACTGACTTCGTTATCTTTCAAGGTTTCTCACGTTATGATATTGAACTCATTTGGAAACAGTCAGGTATAACATTACCTTTTGAAGAAATTTGGGAAGCATATAAGTCTCTCATCTCTCCTCGTTCATACCTTGAGATTCATATCATGACTAATACCATTAAAGTCAAAAATATTCCATGGGAACGACCAACATTGTTTTAAAGTTTAACCTTCAATTGACTGATGGTAGACAAATTCCATGCATCTCTGTCGCCATTTCTGTTAATATTTTTGCTGTCATTCATATCATCCACTTCCCCATCCGTTAGCTTTTGAGGATATGCGTTAGAATAGCTGTTCTTAAATGAAGGCTTTTCACCTTTTAGCGCATAAACTCTATAACTTTCTGCATACTTTATGTTTGAACCTCCTGAGCCATCATTGACATAAATTTTTATAGGCTTCCACCCTTTGTTCATGTTCCTGCTTCTTCCCTTAGCTCTTTTGTTCAGTAGTTCTACATCTTTATACACAGCACCTGTCTCAGTGAATTCAACAATATTTTCATTCGTTAGCTTTGCATTCAAACCCTTGTCGAGTATATTGTTCATTTCATACATATAAAAGGTTTTTATTCTATATGAAATGAGAAGCAAATCCATCTTAGCTGGTGCCGTTAATGTTCCAATTGAACCAACATCAAATGTTGACTCACGAACGACAAACAATATTGTTATAAAGAACTATAGTTCAGAGTGTTTGAAAGAACCAGAACCAGAACTTAAGTCGGTGAATTTAAACACAGCTTCAAACGCTAACGCTACATCAGATGTTAAGTTAGAGTATCCACCACTGGACCAAATTCTTTCAAGAGAAGCCAACGACAACCCTTACACAAATGTTCAAACAAATCCTTCAGATAACGTAGACCATTACCTTCTTCAGTTATACCAAACAATTTTACTCAAAGACGATAAGAAGCTTTTGACAAATCTTATAAGCAAGAACCAAATAATTCTAACAAAGGAGGACCTTGAAAATGTTATCTCACGAATAACAGGAAAACAATGTGTCATTGACTATCTCGACCCTGAAATCGAATGCTGTGGTCAAACTCCACTATTCATGAAAATAGGTAACATCCGCATCATTGAAACACCAGGAACTACAGGAGTTGAGTTTAAGTATAAATATTCGAACGAGTATACAAAACTATCTACTGACTATAAGCTTTGTTTGAAATATGTTTTAGTAAATTAAAGCAGTCAGGAGGGCTCTTTGAGCCCATCTTGGCGCTTTGCGCCGTCAGTCAAAAAATTTCAAGTTAGCAATTTGTAATATCTATCCAAAACTTCTTCAACAGTATCGAACTCATCTTCATAATGCAAACCTAATCTTATTGACTTGGTGCAGTTTTCACTAACACAATATTTTTCTGTTCTCTTGACTGACATAACTAACTCATTTGTTTCATCAAACAGCAACAACCAAAGTTCATGACCCAATACATAACATTCATACTTTATATTTTTAGCTCTGAGTTCTCTTGTAAGCTGTTGCATTTAATATTTTCTAAAAAGTCAACTTCAACAGTCATTCGCACTGGTGCCTTCAGTTCTACAGGCTCTCCTTGAAAGTCAACAAGTCTGAATTGCATGTCTTTCAAATTATGAGGACTAATGCGAACCCATTTACCTAAATGAGTTGCTATGACAGGAACGTTTGGAATGAACATTGAATTGACTGCATAACAGAAGGATTTATATTCTACTGAACCTTTACTATTAACTCCTGAAATACCTGTGACATTAGCTATTTTTGACTCAATGTATAAACAGTTGCCATAACATACGTATGGAACAGATTTCATCTCAATCGTTTTGCCAACACTTTTCAAAGGAAATGTCATATGGTATGCACCCAAAAGAAGTTGTACTCTATGACTCATTCGTGTTATCTTAAACTCCTTCGCATAACTGAACTTCAATGTTCCCTCAGAAGAGAGTTCGACATCTATGTTGTCAATTGTTTCTTCATTTATGAGAGTATCTATGACTCCAGCAATTTTATCTATTCTGTACTCGGCTCTGTTAGGAAATGTTATAACACTTCTTTTGTCATCTATTTCAATCTCTATGAAATCTGTTTCATCTGTTATGACAAAAGTTGCGATAGTATTGAAGTCAACAACTCTGAAAGCAAGCGCTTCATTCTGAAGACCTAAGTTTGTTTGTAGCTTTACTGTCCCGTATTCGTTTGGGTCTGTACTTTGCAAATAGAACAACATTTTATTCTCATTAAAATATGACTATTGCTGCATATGCGTATGAAACAAATGAAGCAAGAAGAGCACATGAACTAGTAAACGAAAACTCAACTTTAACCATTGAAGGCAATGATTTAGTCATTGACGATGGAAAGACTAAAAAAGTCATTGATTTCGATACTTTTAACACTTATGACCCATTCATTACAATAAGTAAAGTTCCTATCATAAATGATGGAACGGTGCAATATATAAATTCTACAGTAGATGCCTCATTAGTGAAAGTATTAAATGTTCTCATTGAATTGTTAAAGAGCTTTCGATTTGACGACAACATTAAATGCCTAAAGAATTTAGTCATGAATGAGAAACAAATTCTCGGCGTTGCTGGTAGCAGTAATGATGTACACCTTATGACATTAGAATATTATAACGAACATAAAGATGAACTGAAAGGAGAGAGGGGTGACACCGGACCTCAAGGACCACAAGGAATACAAGGAATACAAGGACCTCAAGGCGAGAACGGTTTGGATGGTGTAGATGGAAAGGATGGAAAAACTGCTAAATCATGGATATGGAACCTTATAAATACTGGTTTAACAGCTGCTTCATATGGAGTTCTTCAATACCAAATCGGAAAGATATGGGCAGTACTTGGTGAAGAAGTTTTAGATGACGTTAAAAATGCTTTGAACTTCATTTCAAATGGTTCTGATACTATTAAAACTTTATCTGGTTGGATGCAAGAAACAAGGAGTCAAATAGATACTGTAAGACGTATAGCAAACAATGCACGTACGGGATTGGATACTTTACGAGAAGCACAAAATACACTAAAGGAAGCAAATGATATTCTTGGCTCAGTATCAGACATGCATGAAGATTGGCTTAAAGGTATTGACAAATCTTTAAAAAATCACAGTCAGTCTATTGCTGACTACAAGAAAAGTATAGATTTTTTACATAGTGCTATGGACGTACATGATGGAAGCATAAGGAACTTACTTAATGCTAACAATAACTTACCAGGAACTATTAAAGCATTTATAAAGTCCTTTGTAAAACCTGGTGCTCTAACATTTAGGTCTTTGAGAGCAAGAGCATTGAAGTCAAGAGATGCAGAAACTCCAACAGAACCTACAGAAGGAACTGAAACAACAGAAACTCCAGAAGAACCACCAAAACCAACAGCTAATGAAATATTGTTCGAATATTTTCCAAGGTACTCTGTTCTCATTGCATACATTCAAGAAATACTTAAGAAAGCAGACTTGACTTTAGGAGATGATGAAAGTTCTGTATATCTTTCGTTCCAGTTTCAAATAGCAGAACTTTTGAGACAGATATGCTTAATGTATGACAACATCTCTGATTTCACAAGATATGATGACGACCATGACCCCGAACACGGTGAAGAAGAAGTTTTACAAACATCCATTAAGACAGGAAAGGTTTTAACTCAAAGTCTCATTATTGACACCAAAGATGGCGAAGTGGACGTTCTTCAAGAGCTGAAGAAAAATACTTCTTCGGGAGGTGGTGGTAGGCATGAACTTGAAATAAATGAGATAGAAGAGAAATTAGCCGAAAAAGCAGATAAAAACCATGTTCATTATATAAGTTCAGACGAACAGATTATAACGGACTACCATGGATATTTAACACAGGATGAACAAATAAGCACTGAAGATGTTAATGAAAGAAGATATAAATTCATTCGTGCTAAAGGTTATGACATACACTGTACTGTACAGTATGACACAGGTAAAGCACAAGAAGCATTTGGTTATAACGATGAAATATACGCTTCATACTTCTTTGTTAACGGTGTATTAGTTGAACCAAGATTTATGTTGAGAGTTAAGACAAAAATAACGTTTGAAGATGCTATTAAAAGTAAAGCTGACAAAGATGAACTTGACGCAACGAACAAAGTTTTGAAATCTCATAAACACAATATCTCCGATATAAATGAACTTCAAGCTACATTAAATAGTAAAGCTGACAAGAACCATACACATAAATCCTTCACTACTGTTAGAGCAGACGACATAATATTGAACTATACTTTAGGTTCAAGTGCACCTTTAGAGAATCCGAGTACAAGCGTAAAAGATACACTAAACTCCTTAAATAGTAAATGTATGAACATTGAAGGTCATGTCAGAAACTTTGAAACACATGAACTACCAACAATGTTAGATAAGAAAGCTGACAAAACTTATGTGGATGCAGAACTAACAAAGAAATTTTCGAAACCAGACACAATGACATTCACAACAGAATTTATAAATGGTGAACCAGCAACTCCATTTGAATTTGTAAGAGGCATTCAACCAGAAACATTTGAATTTTTCTTGGATAATTCTATAGAGCTAACATTACATTATAAAAGTGGAACAAATGCAACATTTCATCCGGGAGATATATTCCAAATGGTATTTAATGACATAAGTTCTTTAGAATATATTTATAGAGTTATGAGCATATATGATTTAATATATCCTATAGGAGCTGTTTATACGTCTATGAATCCAATAAATCCAAACACTTTATTTGGTGGTAGATGGTATGAAATAGTTGACAGTTTTCCATTCTACACTAATACGCAGTCAATGAAGATGGGAGGTTCAAAGAAAATAGGTATTGAAAACCTTCCTTCACATATGCATAAGTTCAGTGGAACAACATCTGTGGAAGGAAACCATTCGCATCCAATGACAAAAAGAGGTTATACAAATCTTGCTGCAGGTTCTGATAGGCAAGGTATGAATAGATATGATATCACAGATGACCCCAAAGATGTTAGCACAGGTATTTTCTGTGGAACTGCAGGAAACCATACACATGTTTATGCTGGCATTACAGACCCAGCAGGTAATGGAAAAGATTATATGCCTCCTTATATAACAATGCACGCTTGGATACGAGTTGGTTAAAATCTTTATTTTTACTTAAATGAGTTTGAAAGAAGTATTCGAACAACATCCCTGGAGGTCATTTAAGAAGTTCAATGAAGCTGCAAAGAGTTGGGGATTTACTAACAGAGCTGAAGTGAAAAGGTTCTTTGACAAAAATGTTGTACATCAAACAAAAATAAACCCTTACGACTACTTTTTACCAATTTACTCCAACACTCCTGACGCATATCAATTTGACACTCTCATTCAAAGCAGAAAAGGAGGACATAAACCATTCCTCATCTTCATTAATGTTAACACTCGCAAAGCATATGCATATCCAATGAAAAATAAAGGAACTCGTGAAGTTTTAAGAGTTTTGCAGACGTTCGTAGCAGAACATAGCCCAAGTACTTTAACATCAGACCAAGACAGTGCATACCTCAGCAATGAAATCACAGATTTTCTCATTAAGCATAACATAACTCACTACACTACTGAAGACCATAACCATAACATACTCGGCATCATAAACCGCTTCATAAGAACGCTCAGAGATTTAAATCAAGAGCGAGACTTTACTGAAGAAACAATGAAACATTTTCTCGAAGTATATAATTCCTCAACACATTCTACAACAGGACATACACCAAATTCAATGACACAACAACAAGAAGAAAAGTATATACAAAAGAAACGAAGCCAAACACAAAATATCAGAAATTCAACACAATTTACCCTCATTCCTGGTACAAAAGTTCGTGTAGTTCTTGACGACAAACCGTTGACAAAGAAACGTTTAAGGTTAAGTAGAAACTATTATATCGTAGACTCTACGCAAGGTAATGGATATCTTATAAAAGCTGCTGACGACTTTATTGCGTTTTACCCTCGTCACAAAGTAGTCGAGAGTAGTAATGGCAAACTTGCTGAAACCATTGACGAAGCAAAGCGAGGAGTGGTTATTGAAATACTTGGCTACAACATAAACGATGACACTTATAAAGTAAGATATGAAGGAGGCGTTGAAGATGTTATACCATCTAAGAACTTGAGAGAGTCGAAGCCAACACATCTGGGACCATGAGAGCGGGAGTACTGGAAAGACAAAAATAAGCCAGAAAGAATAAGAAAATTCTTCTAAACTTTTTCATTAGATGTAAATCAGACAAAAATAATGTTTAGGGTAGATGGTTAGATCTAACCTCATTTCTACCCTCACGAATTTTCATGAATTCCTTAAGATAGAAAAAATAACGCTAATTTTTTTCTAACAAATTTTTTTATTTTGTATGTAAGAACAGTAATGTCAGTCGAAGCAAAAACATTCACGAACAAATCTAATGGCGAAACATTCACAAAAGGCACTTATAACGGTATTGAAGTCTTACGTAGAGACAAGGATGGTTACATTAATGCAACAAATATGTGTCAGCAGTTTAGGAAAGACTTTAGAAAGTTGTTGGAAAATAAGTCCTGGGAAGAGTATTATAAGGCGTTTTGTGAAGAATATAGCAACCGCCGGAATACAGACGGTTGGTTTTTATACAAAATTCATGCAGGAATTCCTGATGAAATCAAACAGGTTAGAGGAACGTATGTAGACCCAAGACTTATAAACTATATAGCAATGTGGGCTTCTCCAAAATATTGCATAGCAGTTGGAAAAATTATGGACTCCATAGACAAGAAAGTTCATGAGAAATTAGATGAAGAAGAACTTGAAGATACAGTAGAGAATGCAAAATATTTGTTTGAAGAAGAAGTTAGGAAAATGCATGAAAAACAATTAGAACATGAACGTGAGATGTGTTATGGTTATAGAGATTCTCCATACGAACTAGACCAATGGGAACAAGAAGATTTAAAGAGAGAATTTAGAGAATATGAACTCGCTAAGATAGCATTAGAAGCTGCAGAAAAGAAGTTAAAAGTTTGGGGTCGTTTTGTACAAAAATATTGTGAGTAAATGAACCATTTATTTTGTCATAAACGACCAAAAATAATGTTTAGGGTAGAAGGTTAGATCTAACCTCATTTCTACCCTAGCCGCTTTGCGGCTCTGACCTTTGGGTCTCATGAATTTTCATGAATTTCCTTAAGATAGAAAAAATAACGCTAATTTTTTTCTAAGAAAAATTTTTATTTTGTATAAAAGATATGATTTCAACAATCGGCACAACAACAATTCAAACAACTTCACCAAACTCGTTAGTCATGAATCCAACATCTATGTTAGTAGAGATGAAAAGCTTCATTCCTTCTTCATATAGTTTTGTAACAGAAATACAAAGAATAAAGCAAGAACTTTTAACAAGTAATTTAGACTGTACCGCACAGGATGAAGAAAATGAACAGTATCTTTATGAAATGCAGGACATTATTGACCATTTACCCAAATTGCCTGAAATTCAGCAGCAAAAACTAACTATTCCTGAATTCGATGAAATTGAAGTGAAACCAACTGACTCAGTAGAAATAAAGAAGTTCATACGTAAAGTAAACTATGAGTTTCTAGGATATCATTGCAACCATAAAGTTATGGACAAAGATTGCGACATGGTATATAAGAACATCTCTGACATATATAAATCGGTGGAGTTTAAGACATACGACAACTTTGTTTCATTAGTTGCAAAATGTGTATGGCAGATAAGAGATAAAGATAGAAGAGGTAAGGTATGGAATGAACAGATAAAACCAACTGCTTCAGATTTAAAGAAAACCATTGACGCCTTAGTTGTTTTAGCAGGTAAGGTTTCAGAATATAACGCAAAAACGATGCCGCAATGTTCAAAATGTAAAGCAGCAATGAGGAAATATAACTACTCCGTCAAAGAGATAGAACGTATGAGAAACGACTATGCAGACTTAAAGAAAGAAGCAGAAAAGCCAGCAGAAGATAAAATGGACATGTTAGAATTTCTGAACAAAAACTATCCAACTGCTGACGATTTCCTTCTATCTGACGTCAAGAAGAAGTATAAAGAAACTTTCGGCATTGTTAAAACTTTTGATATCCTCAGCGAAGAAATAGAAGCTACAAAACTGTTTAGAATCTCACGAATTCATAACGTTTACCATGTAAAACGGTTATAAATAATGAGGGTAGAAATGAGGGTAGAAATGAGGTTAGATCTAACCTTCTACCCTAAACATTATTTTTGCTGAAAAATGACCAAATTTCATGAATTTCATTAGTTAGAAAAATAACGCTAATTTTTTTCTAAGAAAATTTTTTATCTTGTATGTAAAGACAGTAATGTCAAACATTGAGTTTGAAACAGTTAGAAAGATAGACAATGACACCAAAGTGGTTAGAATAGGTGATTTAAACGTAAGATACTCAAAGAAATACAACAAATATTCTTTGTCAGACATTATAACACCTTCTGGAAAGAAAACAAAGGACTGGGTTAGAATTGCTTCTACTCAGAAAATTTTGACAAGAAATCCTGAGCTTATGATATCGGTAAGATTCTATGGAACTACAGCATATCTCATTGACAAAAGTCTTATACCAATAGTTTTGTTATGGTTAGACCCAGTTGTTGGATATAACTTCATAACTTATGGTTCATTCGATACGGAACGTTGCAGTGAAGGCTTACTTTACATCGTTCAGAAACCGAAGGACTTCAATACAAAGAGATATAAGATAGGAAGAACATATAATATAACTCAAAGATATGATTCTACAGTCAATAGAGTCAAGGTTGTGTTCGTTAATGATATGAGAGCTGCAGAAACAGAACTACTTGAAAAGTTTGAGAAAATGTATGGTGCTCCCATGAAAGGTAAAGAAACGTTTGAAGTAGATGAGATAGATAAAGCTATAAAATTATTTGACGAAGTTGCTGAAAAATACATGTAAAGCGTTTATTTTTGGTCTTTTGTGAAAGTCAGAAAATAACGCTAATTTTTTTCTAACAAAAATTTTTATCTTGTATGTAAGAAACAGTAATGTCAACATCAGAGAACACAACAACTGCTATCGTTCATGAAGCCATAAATGAAGAATACGAATACATACAATATAACAAACAACTTCGCCTCATTCGTTCGGTCAAAGATGACATGTACCAAATGCAAAGTATAATGAATGCTCTTCGTTCTACAAAGCAAGCATATCATTGGTTTGAAAACCAACAGACAAAAGAACTTTTAGAAGAATTTCCTCATATGATTGCTTCCCTCGGAAAACCGAGAGAAGAGATTCCGTACGAAAATCGCAAGAATTTGGCTCCTGGTTTGAAAGGTTATTATGTTCATAGACTTTTAGTAAATGCTGTAGCAATGTGGGCTTCACCTCGTTATGCTTGTTATATTTTCATGATGCTAGATGAACTATATAAAGCAGAACGTGGAGAGATGGAAAAGAAACTTCAAGCAAAAGATGAAGTCATTGAATCCAAAGACAAAAGCATACAGAAAAGAATACCGCGTTCAGTACCAAAAGGAAAGGAAAAGAGTTATAAGTATATGATTTATACTGAAGAGTTGGAGAAAGAAGAAGATAAAGATATGGTTATGTTATATTTAGTCAGAAGAAACAACAAAAGCTTTTATGACTTAGCTAAGATATATAAATCTGACAGAAACTGGTTCTATCGTGAAAACTTACCGATTTCAATGACACCGAATGAGCAAATAAAGGAAATTGTCAAAAATACTCTTCCTCAAACACACTATGACATCAAAGGTTGCACAATACTTACATTCAAAGAAGACTTACCATTACTGAAGGAAAAAATAACAGAATATTTCGATATCTTCAAAGAGGAAGAATGAAGTCACGACAACATTAACGAAGAAGTCACGACAACATTAACGAAGAGAGAATGAGGTGAAAAAAGAGGTGAAAAAACGGGTGAGATCTCACCTCTTCACCTAAAATATATTTTTGCTTAAATAGCTTCAGGGTCTATTTCTTCAACCATTTCACTTCCTTCGTCAATGTCAATAGAAGCTTCTTCAACCTTTGGTAAGAATTTCTGTATGACATCTTTGTTCGTTATTGTCTTCAGAGATGAAGGATAATATTTCACAGATGTTTCACCCTTCTTATATTCTTTCTGTTCGGAAAGATTCATAGCAATACTGAAGAACTCAACGTTAGAGTTCTTTATAACAGTATAATGAGTATCTTTGACATTCACGAAGAAACTCTTTTGTTTCAAAACTACTGCTAACTCTTGTGAAGTATAACGTTTGCGGTCAATGACGATAGCTAATGGTCTGACATACTGACCAAACTTAGATTCTTTCACAAACTTCTTGTTAAAGATAACATTAACATTTGAAGCATTATTGAACTCATTCTTGATGGCAGTAGCGAGAGCATTGTATGAAAAGAACTTGCAATCTTGCATGTGTTTCATTATAATAAAAAGTTCGAAATATTTTAAAACTAGCCTTAAAAAATCTAAGCTAATTTTTTTCTAAGAAATTTTTTTTATTTCCTACTAAAGATGTATCGGAAGTTGTCTAAGTTAGAACACTCGGAAATAAAACAACTTCTTACAGAAGCTAACATAGATGTTGCAAAACATTACGCGACAAACAAAAAAGCACTCGCTGACTTCATTAAAGACTATAATGGTGCAATAAGTTATGATAGAATTCATGAGTTCATAAAGCCGCAACGCGGCGAGGACGAAGTCCATGCAAGAGCATTTCCTTTAAATGACGTTGCTATTGACTTATATCATAGACGTTCAGTACCTCATGAAGTAAGAAGAGAAATGTTTGACATAACAAATGCAAACGTTGGTGAAACAAGAAGAAGAGACGACACACTGAAACAACAGAGAAGAGAGATGTTTAAGAGCGCTATAGAACAAGTTCGCAAAGCTAACGATGTCATTCGTTCCATTGACGACAAACCAAAAGAAGGTGAGAGATGGTTAAAGAAAGATGAAGAGAATAGGAAGAGGAATGTTAAGACAGGCAATAGACTCATTGACTTTAACATCGAAGCTTTAGATGAACCAAACAGAGACTACTTACACAAACATTTCGGTAAGGTTTTCATGAGACTCTTAGAGAAGATTAAAATAAACTCCCAACAAAGATGGATGGTATGTTATAAACTTGGTGGAAAGTATGAATGTTCTACGTTAAACCTCAATAATATTGGAACATTACTACATCAGCTCTTGAAGGAGAACTTTATATCAGAGATAGAAGCAAATGCTGCAGGTATTGTTGAAATGCACTATGACTTCTTCTTGACAAACATAAAGAATCTTACTGAAATAAAGATGTATGATTTAACAGAATATGAAGGCTTAACGATGTCAGATGTAAAGAAAGGCAAACCAAAAAGAGACCATATAGAGATGAAAGCACACTGACAAATGACCAGAAAGCCATTTTGGAAGCTCTTAAGCAAACAGGAAACCCAGCACTTATAGAAAGCTTTTGGAAAGATAATGGTGAAAAGAAGTTTTATAAGAAGAGAAACGGTCAGTTCTGGAAGTATCTTTGCACATTACCTATAAATCTTGAACGCTACCAAATCTTCAATGAACTGAACAAAAGAACTGCAGCACTTATGACAGAGGACAATTGTTTCGTTTATGCTTGCATTCAGGCTGGAGTAAATGAAGAAACTATTGACCACATGAGAGAAGTCATTCGTGTTAGAGACTTTCCTCAAAGTAAAGTACAAGAAATTTCTGACGCAACAGGTATAGCATTTAATGTTACCATTGGTTATTTCGACAACTCCAAAGATAACAGAATAATTCACTGCATACCAAAAGAATGTGAAACTGCTCGAACTATTGACTTACTTCTTGTTGAAGACCACTACATGCTAAATGAAAGATTACCAATGACAACATACTTCATCAGAAATTACAGAGAAATCTTGAAGGAGTGTGGTGGAATGAACATTGAGAAACAGATGAAGATTTATACAAAGAGAGAGAACAAATATGTTGTTCGTAATGATAGAACTACACCTCTATGGGATGTTATGAAAACATTGTGGGGGTGCAAATATTTCGAACCTATTTCTTATGGAGAACTTTTCACATATACGACTGACTTATATAAACAGAACCTTGCACCATTTAAAGACTTGTCATATTCTCCTAAGTATCGTGTTCGACTGAAGGAGAAAGCAGAGTCAAAAGAAGTAAATAAAGCTAAGTGTAAGTTCATACCTGAGCACGTTTTCTTTGCTGACTTTGAGTGTAGCACAGACGGCTTTCATAAAGCCTTTAACATCTGTTACGACAGTGAAGATGGTTCTGTGAGTGAAAGCATTTGGGGTCAGAACTGTGCAACAGAATTTTTGGAACGACTTCCTGACAAGAGTTTAATATATTTCCATAACCTCAGTTATGATATAAACTTCATCTTAAGACACATGACAGAAGTGAAAGGAACTCCCATCATTAAAGGTTCACGAACAATGCAAATAACTGGCTTATATAAAGGAAGGGCAATTATTATAAAAGACTCTTACAGTGTTATAAATAAGAAACTTAAACTATTTCCTGCTATGTTTAACTTACAAACAGGACCGAAAGAAGTATTTCCATATAACTACTACAGCAGTGTTTTGTTAGCAAATGACAACAGAACTGGTGTCATTTCTGAAGCATGTAAGTTTATCCGGGATGCAGATACATTCATGAAAAACATAGATTCCATCAAAGGTTGCAGAATAGATGAGAACCACTTCGACTTAGAAAAGTATAGCACATTTTATTGCAAACAAGATGTAAGAATTTTAAGAGAAGGTTTTGTTAAGTTCCGCAATGACATATTGAAAGAGTTTGATTTAAACGTATATGACTACGTTAGTATTTGTTCTATTGCTAACAAATTGTTTGAGAACAGAGTGTACTTCCCGAATGGAAATTTATATGACCTCTCAAATAAACCAAGAGAATTTATTTCACGCTGTATTCAAGGTGGAAGATGTATGCTGTCAGATAACATGAAACAAAAGAGCGAAAAGAAACTCATTGCTGACTTCGACGCTGTTTCATTATATCCATCAGCTATAGCAAGACTTTATACTTTAGAAGGTATTCCAAAGGTTATGAAGGAAGAAATGTTAAGCACAGAGTATCTCATGAGACATTTATTCGATGACGACCAAAAGGAACCCATTGGTGAAAAGTTTATGTCCGGCTTCTTTGTTCTCATTAAGATAACAGAGATTGGAATACATAGACACTTTCCTTTAATAGTTTGTGACCCTGAACTAAATCCAGAACTTAACGTTCCCAGAAGTTCAAACACTTGCTGTTTAATGTATGTTGACCATATAACATTACAAGACCTCATAAAATATCAAGGTGTCAAATGTGAAGTGTTGCAAGGATACTATTACGATGGAAACAGAGATATTAGAATAAGAGATGAAGTAAAGAAGTTGTTTGAGTTAAGGTTAAAGTATAAGAAAGAAGGAAATCCTTTGCAAGAAAATATAAAGCTCATTCTGAACAGTATTTATGGCAAAACTATTCTATCTCCTATTGAGTCAAAAATAACCATAGTAAATGACAAAGATGCTATAAGATATGCCATCAGAAACTACAACCATATAGTGAAGTTCGAAGGTTTGGATGGTTCAAATAAAACTATTTTCAAGCTAACGAAAAGCATTTGCAGACACTTTAACTTCTGTCCACTTGGTGTTAGCATTCTGTCAATGTCGAAGAGAATAATGTGTGAAGTATTCTGTACTGCTGAAGATATGGGACTTCAAATCTTCTACCAGGACTGTGATAGCATGCATATTTTCAATGAAGACATCCCACTGTTAGCTCAGGAATTTCGGAAGAGATACGGTAGAGAACTTATTGGTAAAACATTAGGTCAGTTCCATTCTGACTTCGCAGAAATAACACCTGGAAAACAAAGTTTAGCATACAAGTCAATATTTTGTGGAAAGAAGACCTACATAGACTTACTCACTAACGATTTAAATGAAGTTGCATTCCATGCACGTTGCAAAGGTGTCAAACAAGACGTCCTTGCTTTAACAGCAAATGAAATGTTTCCTGAAGCTATTCAATGCTATTACAATGAAGATAAGAACATTCACATACCTGTTGGAACATATGACAAAGACTCTGAGTTCAGTGTTATGAAGTTATATAAAGCACTTTATGACGGTCAAGAGATTGCATTCGACTTATGTAAGTCTTCTAGTCCTTGCTTTGCTGAAAAGTTTAACTTCTCAATAACGACTAAAACAAGCTTTATTCGTAAGTTGAAGTTCTGAGGTCATTTATTTTTGTCAGCAATGAGGTCATGAATGAGGTCATTTATTTTTGTCAGCAGTGAGGTCATGAATGAGGTCATTTATTTTTGTCAGCAATGAGGTCATGAATGAGGTCATGAATAAGGTCATGAATAAGGTCATGAATAAGGTCATGAATGCGATCATGAATGAGGTCATTTATTTTTGTCAGCAATGAGGTCATGAATGAGGTCATGAATAAGGTCATGAATAAGGTCATGAATAAGGCCATGAATGAGGTCATGAATGAGGTCATTTATTTTTGTCAGCAATGAGGTCATGAATGAGGTCATGAATAAGGTCATGAATAAGGTCATGAATAAGGCCATGAATGAGGTCATGAATGAGGTCATTTATTTTTGTCAGCAATGAGGTCATGAATAAGGTCATGAATGAGATCATGAATGAGGTCATTTATTTTTGTCAGCAATGAGGTCATGAATGAGGTCATTCGTGATAAAAATAAAGCTAGCGTAGATTTTACAATACTGTGATGGTAGAGTTTAAGAGTTGTGCTTCAATGTAGAGACAGTCCTTATGGTCTGGAGGTAAGAACACTGGGCAGTTATGGTCATGAGTGGAGAACATGTCTATCCAAAACTCACGATTGAAGCCAGTTAATTTATAGTATTTAGGGTTAGGAAGTGGTGAAGATCTTGTATGACCAATGAACTCATTTTCAACTCCCTTACTTAAGTTTGAATATAATATAGCTTGCTTTCTATCCCAAATACCTGGAAATCTAATTTCGGAAAATTCATTTTTCCTCGGAAGCATTGCATCATAATTGAAAACAGTCTTGAAATCATCACTTGGTTCAGAGATTTGAAATCTTATACGTAATGGATTTTCTTTCTCTTTAGCTACTTCATTGAATGGTGAGAATACAATGAATTGACAGTCATGAGTTCCATCGGCATTTGATACAAACTCGTAATGAAACGCTATTAATCTTTCTACAATTCCTTCTTCTTTCAGTTGTGCAAGAAACTCACGTAAAGGCTGTAAAGTTTGTACTTCAATGTTAAACTTCTTTTGAAAATTTTCGTAAAATGTAATTATACAGTCTTCTAACGTCGTACTGTCATTGAAGTATTTGTATATGTGAATGTTTTGGGCGCTTAAAGACTGTTCGTCATTTTCTATCTCGACTTGAAGTATAAAGTCAACCTTTCTGAAAGCACGTGTTATATACATAGATGTTATGCCAATGTACTTCTCTTCATTTATGTTCACAATCCAGTCTGTTGGAAACTTAAACGTTACTCTGTTCCCCTTTATTTTGACGTCAGGGTTTTCACTACTGAACGCAATAGATAAAGGTATTTGTCTATACATTTAGTTCCGATAAAAATAACCCATTTACTCTTTCTTTGCTTCAGCTTCTTTAGCTTTTGCTTCAGCTTCTTCTCTAGCTTTCTTCGCCAGTAGTCTTGGGTTCTTTTGTCTTCCAGCAGCTAATGCAGCAAGTTGTTTGTCACTAAGTTTTCTCTTTGGTCTCTCTGGCTTTTGTTCTGGTTTTTGTTCCTTCAGTTCGGATAAAATTTGCTCACGAATTTCTTTCTTCAATGCTTCAACATCTATGACCCCTTGGGTCTTGTCCGTAGGGCTTGTCTGAGTCATTTGACTGCAGATAAAAAAACAAAATTAAAACTTTAACCGATGTAAAATGAGCTTGTCAAAATCAGAGCGAGAGTCTATTATATTAAATGACGCAAGAGGAATACAACATCCTTTCTATTACGTAAGTCAGAGTAAAGATGGTAAAATATACGTAAGAAAAAAAAAGGTACCATTAGCGAATGCAGAAAGCGACAACATTAAGGTGCATGGCAAGGGTGAAGCCCATATAAAACCCTCTGTTCAAACTGAGCCACCAAAAGAACAAGAAGAAAAGAAGCCAGATGTACTTTCAATAACGAACCAAGAGCTTATTGCAAAGTTCGTGAATTTCATTGAAAAACAAACCGAGTCAAAGAATCCTGACCCACCAGTGAAAGAAGTTGAGACAAAAGAGAATGTACAGTTCATTGAAAATGTCAAGAAACAACTTCCACCACGAATGCCAAGAAGAAGAGTGAGAATAATGAAGTAAATAGATATTTTTATCTGAAGTAAATACATACAGAACGAACAGCTAAACGAATTTACTCCAGCAGAGCATATTCATCAGATTCGCTCATATTTCGATATCATAGACAATGCAGTTCAAATTGGTGACACTAATAGAAAATATTCTGACGCAAAGATTCCATCACAACCTGGAACTGCTAAAGATAACACATGGGTAACATTCAATCTCTCACCTCCTGGTGAAAATATGTTGGACCTTTACAATACATTCATTACGTATAAAATGGAAGGTCAATTTATTGTAGATAAAGAAATTGGTTCAGGTTCCAATAAAACAAACCCACCAGGATTTTGGATTGGTTTCGATGACGCTTTCTATGCAGTTGCTGGATATCAAATCCTTGCAAACGGTCGTATCGTATATTCTCAAGACAACGCAAGAGAAGAAGCATATATAACTTCAGTTAGTATGGTTAAGTTGGGTACGGCGGCACTGCGTTCCACCTTACCCAAGTTAACCTTAAATATTTACAAAACCATCTGACACATAAATGACTTCACTAACGAACTCACTAATGTAAAAAATAAACGTTCTCACTATCGTTCTCACTAACGACTTCACTAATGTTCTCATAAATTTTCCTCAATATCTTCATCATCAGTGTTAACCCTATTGTAGTCATACTTGAAGCCATAAACTTTCTCTAACTTCTTAACGTACAATTTACATAACTTACCTTCGTCATCGTATGGTTTAATGATATAACTATTTCTATCTTTATACACAGTCAATGAAAAGTCAACTGGTCTCGGATGTATTTGAAAGAACATGTTATGCTCAGGAAGGAAGAATAAATGTTTAAATGTATGTTTGTTATACTGTGGAATTCGAATGAGTTGCTTTTGTTCTGTCATTTACATCCAAATAAAAATTTTCAGTAAAATAAAAAATAAACTTAAAAATTAATGATATCACCACCCTCACACGTATGAAAACATAGCACAAAAATAAATTTAGGTGAAGTGGTGAGATCTCACCTCTTTTTTCACCTGTTTTTTCACCCTGTTGAATTCATTGCTTTATAACTCTCTTCCTTTCTCCAACTCTTCTAACTTCTTCCTAAGTTCAGCAATGTTGTCCTCATGAAGTTTAATCTTCCTTAATATACCTTCTCTATCTAATGGTTGCTTTATCTTTCTAAACTGAACTCTACCATCCTTCATAGTATGAATGTAAAAACCTTCTGGAATAGTTCCTGATTTAATGTATTCTACCAAAAACTTTTGTTTCATTGCTTCAGTGACTTTATTTGTCATTTCAATCAAATAAAAATTTTAATATTAAATAAAAATAACGTTATTTTTTCAGTAAGGAAACGCAGGAGTTTTACGATTTATTTGAGGAGTAGGTTCTGGTTTAAATGTTGGAGTCGGTTTAGGAGTTGACTTTTGAACAGGAGTTTGTACTTCCATAGGTTCAGGAGTCATTGAAGGTTTTGCTTGTGAAGGCGTTGGTTTTGCTTGTGAAGGTGTTGGAGTTTGTTTAACTTCAACTACTTCAGTATTATTTACAACATTTGCTTTATTTCTTTTCAACATCATAACTGCTCCTGCTGTAGCTAGCAAACCTAGTGGGAGACCATATCTTATATAAGGACTTGACCAAATGCTATTTTTGACAGGAGCTGGTGGAACACCTAACCTTGGTGAAACTGCTCTTTGCCATTGTGCAGCTCGTAAGAAATATTCAATAGGTGCTCCATAATCGTTTGGTAAAGTTTGTTTCATAGATGGTGAAGGTTCACGAGAGCTTGATGAAGAACTCATTTATAAGCTTTAAAAATAAACGTTCATCCTTTATTCCTCACTGTCGTCCGTAGCTAAGTTATAGTCATCTAATCTTATTATGGGGATGCCATTAGCACGCACCTGAATGGCAAAGCAACAATCCCTCATAAATCCAATAAGTGGCTTTGGTACATTTTCAGTTGCTAGTTCAATAGGTCCTTTAACAGACAATTTGTATGTTATTGGAGCAGTAGATGTTTGACCTTGCTGGAAGCAAAAGTCCACTTCTGTTGGAAAACCACATAAGAAATGTGTGTTGTCATAGCTATCCCATTTATGTTCCACACTACCATCATCCACCAATGATCTCATAACATCTTCATTAAATCCTATCATATCATTGTTTGTATTGCAGGCGTTCGCAACCATTTCATAAAATACAGGTCCATATGATTTTTCAGGTTCTGCAGGCATATTTCCATAAGCTCCCATGGAAAGCTGAAGATATTTAAACTTAGGGTTCTCAAAATTAACATAATAGTTGTCTTTCTTTCTAAATAGTGCCCAAATACTTTTAACATTAATAGGCGTATAAGCTGCTGTAAATGTTGCACTTGAACTATCTGTATTCTTTGAGAATGAACCGTCCATAGGAATCCAATCCATAACTTTAACAGGAAAACATAAAGCCTCGTTTGTATAATGTTCTACAAGTTCTGTATAAATGTTAGGGTCTAAAGAGAATGACTTTGGATGAATGAAACATTCATTAAAATCCATCTTTGTTCGAAATAGTTGCTGGGTTACAGTTGTAATAGTAACTGTTCCACTAGCTTCTACTGCCTTCGTTATCATAGTGAATGATTCATTCCATGGAACAAATTTATTTGTCGGTGGATTTGAATCTGAAGCAAATGCAACTTTAAGAGTTGGATTGAAAGCAATGATATCATTTACAGATATAGATGTGCATTGTAAGGCGTCGCTACTGAACTTTACTTTAAGCTGAATGTTTCCTGCAAAAGCTGGAATAAATCGAATAGCTTCTAATGGAAGGAATCTTCTAACAGGAATTCTTAAACGAAGCTTAAAATCAAATGATTTTCCTGCTGTAATTGGACCACTAACAATTTGTCCTGTTCTGCATGTTCCCGAATGACTCCATACATCTTCATGTCGAGTCTTTGAGAAAACATCTACTTTCTTTATTTGTTCGGTAGTTTTGTGAGTTTGAAGTTATATATGCTTCTTCTCTTGCGTTGTCTTTGAGAATATACGATACGACCGTTTGCAAGGATTTGATATCCAGCAACTGCATAGAAAGCGTCATCGAAACCAATCCAAAATCCTGGTGGGTTTGTTTTATTGGAACCTGAACCAATTTCTTTATCTACAATAAATTGACCTTCCATTTTATACGTAATGAATGTATTGTAAAGGTCCAACATATTTTCACCAGGAGGTGAGAGATTGAATGTTACCCATGTGTTATCTTTAGCAGTTCCAGGTTGTGATGGAATCTTTGCGTCAGAATATTTTCTATTAGTGTCACCAATTTGAACTGCATTGTCTATGATATCGAAATATGAGCGAATCTGATGAATATGCTCTGCTGGAGTAAATTCGTTTAGCTGTTCGTTCTGTATGTATTTACTTCAGATAAAAATATCTATTTACTTCATTATTCTCACTCTTCTTCTTGGCATTCGTGGTGGAAGTTGTTTCTTGACATTTTCAATGAACTGTACATTCTCTTTTGTCTCAACTTCTTTCACTGGTGGGTCAGGATTCTTTGACTCGGTTTGTTTTTCAATGAAATTCACGAACTTTGCAATAAGCTCTTGGTTCGTTATTGAAAGTACATCTGGCTTCTTTTCTTCTTGTTCTTTTGGTGGCTCAGTTTGAACAGAAGGTTTTATATGGGCTTCACCCTTGCCATGCACCTTAATGTTGTCGCTTTCTGCATTCGCTAATGGTGCCTTTTTTTTTCTTACGTATATTTTACCATCTTTACTCTGACTTACGTAATAGAAAGGATGTTGTATTCCTCTTGCGTCATTTAATATAATAGACTCTCGCTCTGATTTTGACAAGCTCATTTTACATCGGTTAAAGTTTTAATTTTGTTTTTTTATCTGCAGTCAAATGACTCAGAGACAAGCCCTACGGAAAGACCCAAGGGGTCATAGATGTTGAAGCATTGAAGAAAGAAATTCGTGAGCAAATTTTATCCGAACTGAAGGAACAAAAACCAGAACAAAAGCCAGAGAGACCAAAGAGAAAACTTAGTGACAAACAACTTGCTGCATTAGCTGCTGGAAGACAAAAGAACCCAAGACTACTGGCGAAGAAAGCTAGAGAAGAAGCTGAAGCAAAAGCTAAAGAAGCTGAAGCAAAGAAAGAGTAAATGGTTATTTTTATCCGAATTAAATGTATAGACAAATACCTTTATCTGTTGCGTTCAGTAGTGAAAACCCTGACGTCAAAATAAAGGGGAACAGAGTAACGTTTAAGTTTCCAACAGACTGGATTGTGAACATAAATGAAGAGAAGTACATTGGCATAACATCTATGTATATAACACGTGCTTTCAGAAAGGTTGACTTTATACTTCAAGTCGAGATAGAAAATGACGAACAGTCTTTAAGCGCCCAAAACATTCACATATACAAATACTTTAAAGACGATACAACATTGCAACAATGTATGATTTCATTTAATGAAATGTTCGAGAAAAAGTTTAACATTGAAGTACAAAACTTTACAGCCTTTACGTGAGTTTCTTGCACAACTGAAAGAAGAAGGTAGTCAGCCACAACTTATAGACTTTCATTATGAATTTAATGAAAATGAAGATGGAACTCATGACTGTCAGTTTGTTGTATTCTCACCATTCAATGAAGTCGCTAAAAGAAAGAAAATCCATTACGTATAAGATTTCAAATCTCTGAACCAAGTGATGATTTCAAGAATGTTTTCAATTATGATGCAATGCTTCCGAGGAAAAATGAATTTTCAAAGATTGTAACACCTGGCATTTGGGATAGAAAGCAAGCTATATTATATTCAAACTTAAGTAAGGGAGTTGAAAATGAGTTCATTGGTCATACAAGAACTTCACCACTTCCTAACCCTAAATACTATAAATTAACTGGCTTCAATCGTGAGTTTTGGATAGACATGTTCTCCACTCATGACCATAACTGCCCAGTGTTCTTACCTCCAGACCATAAGGACTGTCTCTACATTGAAGCACAACTCTTAAACTCTACCATCGCAGTATTGTAAAATCTACGCTAGTTTTATTTTTTCTGAAAATTTTTATTTGAGTGAAAGGCATGGAAGGTGAAGGACATTGGCAAACACTCGAACATGACAATGACTATGAAATCTTTTCAGAGTACCCATATCCAATTAGGCGCATAAGTAACAAAAGAGTTGTAAGTGAGTTTGACAACGGTGATGGTTATATTTGTGTTTATTTAAACAAACATAAACTCTTTAAGCATAAAATTGTTGCAAATCAATTTATACCGAATCCTGAAGGACTTCGAGAAGTAGACCATATAAACAGAGACAGAGGAGACTTTCATATCTCAAACTTAAGGTGGGTGTCGAGAAGACAAAACATGAGAAATATTTCTGGTTCGAATGGTTATTGGTTTGACATTGTAGACACTCTTCCTGAAGATGCTGTTGAAATTATACAATACTCTAAATTTACTCTAGAAAATTACTACTATGTCCCAAGTGAAGATGTCTTTTACTATTTCATGGGAACTCAATACAGACGAATGAATGTCTTAAGACAGTATAGCAAAGATTATATAAACATTACAGATGTAGAAGGAAGAAGAACAAAGCTGTCTATTGCAAAGTTTAAGAGAGACAATGGTTATACATAAATGACAAAAATATATGACCTCATTATTTTTATCACGAATGACCTCATTGCTGACAAAAATAAATGACCTCAGAACTTCAACTTACGAATAAAGCTTGTTTTAGTCGTTATTGAGAAGTTAAACTTCTCTTCAAATGCAGGACTAGAAGACTTACATAAGTCGAATGCAATCTCTTGACCGTCATAAAGTGCTTTGTAAAGTTTCATTAAACTGAACTCAGAGTCTTTGTCATATGTTCCAACAGGTATGTGAATGTTCTTATCTTCATTGTAATAGCATTGTATAGCTTCAGGAAACATTTCATTAGCTGTTAAAGCAAGAACGTCTTGTTTTACACCTTTACAACGTGCATGAAATGCAACTTCATTTAAATCGTTAGTGAGTAAGTCTATGTAGGTTTTCTTTCCACAAAATATTGACTTGTATGCTAAACTTTGTTTTCCAGGTGTTATTTCTGCGAAGTCAGAATGGAACTGACCTAATGTTTTACCAATAAGTTCTCTACCGTATCTCTTCTTAAACTCTGCTGCAAGCTTTGGTATGTCTTCATTGAAAATATGCATGCTATCGCAGTCCTGATAAAATATTTGAAGACCCATATCTTCAGCAGTACAGAATACTTCACACATTATTCTCTTCGACATAGATAAGATATTAACACCTAAGGGGCAAAAGTTAAAGTGTCTGCAAATGCTTTTCGTTAGCTTGAAAATAGTTTTATCTGAACCATCCAAACCTTCGAACTTCACTATATGGTTGTAGTTTCTGATGGCATATCTTATAGCATCTTTGTCATTTACTATGGTTATTTTTGACTCAATAGGAGATAGAATAGTTTTGCCATAAATACTGTTCAGAATGAGCTTTATATTTTCTGCAAAGGATTTCCTTCTTCTATACTTAACCTTTAACCTTAACTCAAACAACTTCTTTACTTCATCTCTTATTCTAATATCTCTGTTTCCATCGTAATAGTATCCTTGCAACACTTCACATTTGACACCTTGATATTTTATGAGGTCTTGTAATGTTATATGGTCAACATACATTAAACAGCAAGTGTTTGAACTTCTGGGAACGTTAAGTTCTGGATTTAGTTCAGGGTCACAAACTATTAAAGGAAAGTGTCTATGTATTCCAATCTCTGTTATCTTAATGAGAACAAAGAAGCCAGACATAAACTTTTCACCAATGGGTTCCTTTTGGTCGTCATCGAATAAATGTCTCATGAGATACTCTGTGCTTAACATTTCTTTCTTCAATACTTTGGAATACCTTCTAAAGTATAAAGTCTTGCTATAGCTGATGGATATAATGAAACAGCGTCGAAGTCAGCAATGAGTTTCTTTTCGCTCTTTTGTTTCATGTTATCTGACAGCATACATCTTCCACCTTGAATACAGCGTGAAATAAATTCTCTTGGTTTATTTGAGAGGTCATATAAATTTCCATTCGGGAAGTACACTCTGTTCTCAAACAATTTGTTAGCAATTGAACAAATACTAACGTAGTCATAAACGTTTAAATCAAATTCTTTCAATATGTCATTGCGGAACTTAACAAAACCTTCTCTTAAAATTCTTACATCTTGTTTGCAATAAAATGCGCTATACTTTTCTAAGTCGAAGTGGTTTTCATCTATTCTGCAACCTTTGATGGAATCTATGTTTTTCATGAATGTATCTGCATCCCGGATAAACTTACATGCTTCAGAAATGACACCAGTTCTGTTGTCATTTGCTAACAAAACACTGCTGTAGTAGTTGTATGGAAATACTTCTTTCGGTCCTGTTTGTAAGTTAAACATAGCAGGAAATAGTTTAAGCTTCTTATTTATAACACTGTAAGAGTCTTTTATAATAATTGCCCTTCCTTTATATAAGCCAGTTATTTGCATTGTTCGTGAACCTTTAATGATGGGAGTTCCTTTCACTTCTGTCATGTGTCTTAAGATGAAGTTTATATCATAACTGAGGTTATGGAAATATATTAAACTCTTGTCAGGAAGTCGTTCCAAAAATTCTGTTGCACAGTTCTGACCCCAAATGCTTTCACTCACTGAACCATCTTCACTGTCGTAACATATGTTAAAAGCTTTATGAAAGCCATCGGTACTGCACTCAAAGTCAGCAAAGAAAACGTGCTCAGGAATGAACTTGCACTTATTTTTATTTACTTCTTTTGACTCGGCTTTCTTCTTCAGTTGTACACAATACTTTGGAGCATATGTCAAATCTTTAAATGGTGCAAGGTTCTGTTTATATAAGTCAGTCGTATATGTGAAAAGTTCTCCATAAGAAATAGGTTCGAAATATTTGCACTCCCACAATGTTTTCATAACATCCCATAACGGTGTTGTTCTATCATAACGAACTACATATTTGTTCTCTCTCTTTGTATAAATCTTCATTTGTTTCTCAATGTTCATTCCACCACATTCCTTCAAGATTTCTATATAGTTGCGAATGAAATATGTTGTCATTGGTAATCTTTCATTTAGCATGTAGTGGTCTTCAACAAGAAGTAAGTCAATAGTTCGAACAGTTTCACATTCTTTTGGTATATATCTCTTTATTTCATTATGTCTTGAGTCATTGAAATAACCAATGGTAACATTAAATGCTATACCTGTTGCGTCAGAAATTTCTTGTACTTTACTTTGAGGAAAGTCTCTAACACGAATGACTTCTCTCATGTGGTCAATAGTTTCTTCATTTACTCCAGCCTGAATGCAAGCATAAACGAAGCAGTTATCTTCTGTCATAAGTGTTGCAGTTCTTTTGTTCAGTTCATTGAAGATTTGGTAGCGTTCAAGATTTATAGGTAATGTGCAAAGATACTTCCAGAACTGACCGCTTCTCTTCTTATAAAACTTCTTTTCACCATTATCTTTCCAAAAGCTTTCTATAAGTGCTGGGTTTCCTGTTTGCTTAAGAGCTTCCAAAATGGCTTTCTGGTCATTTGTCAGTGTGCTTTCATCTCTATATGGTCTCTTTTTTGGTTTGCCTTTCTTTACATCTGACATCGTTAAGCCTTCATATTCTGTTAAATCATACATCTTTATTTCAGTAAGATTCTTTATGTTTGTCAAGAAGAAGTCATAGTGCATTTCAACAATACCTGCAGCATTTGCTTCTATCTCTGATATAAAGTTCTCCTTCAAGAGCTGATGTAGTAATGTTCCAATATTATTGAGGTTTAACGTAGAACATTCATACTTTCCACCAAGTTTATAACATACCATCCATCTCTGTTGTGAGTTTATTTTAATTTTCTCTAAGAGTCTCATGAAAACCTTACCGAAATGTTTGTGTAAGTAGTCTCTGTTTGGTTCATCTAAAGCTTCGATGTTAAAGTCAATGAGTCTATTGCCTGACTTCACATTTCTCTTCCTATTCTCTTCATCTTTCTTTAACCATCTCTCACCTTCTTTTGGTTTGTCGTCAATGGAACGAATGACATCGTTAGCTTTGCGAACTTGTTCTATAGCACTTTTAAACATCTCTCTTCTCTGTTGTTTCAGTGTGTCGTCTCTTCTTCTTGTTTCACCAACGTTTGCATTTGTTATGTCAAACATTTCTCTTCTTACTTCATGAGGTACTGAACGTCTATGATATAAGTCAATAGCAACGTCATTTAAAGGAAATGCTCTTGCATGGACTTCGTCCTCGCCGCGTTGCGCTTTATGAACTCATGAATTCTATCATAACTTATTGCACCATTATAGTCTTAATGAAGTCAGCGAGTGCTTTTTTGTTTGTTGCGTAATGTTTTGCAACATCTATATTAGCTTCTGTAAGAAGTTGTTTTATTTCCGAGTGTTCTAACTTAGACAACTTCCGATACATCTTTAGTAGGAAATAAAAAAATATTTTTTGAAAAAATTAGATTAGATTTTTTAAGTTATTTTTCAAAATAATTTAATATTTTTATTTTAATGAAACACATGCAAGATTGCAAGTTCTTTTCATACAATGCTCTCGCTACTGCCATCAAGAATGAGTTCAATAATGCTTCAAATGTTAATGTTATCTTTAACAAGAAGTTTGTGAAAGAATCTAAGTTTGGTCAGTATGTCAGACCATTAGCTATCGTCATTGACCGCAAACGTTATACTTCACAAGAGTTAGCAGTAGTTTTGAAACAAAAGAGTTTCTTCGTGAATGTCAAAGATACTCATTATACTGTTATAAAGAACTCTAATATTGACTTCTTCAGTATTGCTTTAAATCTTTCCGAACAGAAAGAATATAAGAAGGGTGAAACAAATGTGAAATATTATCCTTCATCTCTGAAGACAATAACGAACAAAGATGTTATACAGAAATTCTTACCAAAGGTTGAAGAAGCTTCTATTGACATTGACGAAGGAAGTGAAATGGTTGAAGAAATAGACCCTGAAGCTATTTAAGCAAAAATATATTTTAGGTGAAGAGGTGAGATCTCACCCGTTTTTTCACCTCTTTTTTCACCTCATTCTCTCTTCGTTAATGTTGTCGTGACTTCTTCGTTAATGTTGTCGTGACTTCTTCGTTAATGTTGTCGTGACTTCTTCGTTAATGTTGTCGTGACTTCATTCTTCCTCTTTGAAGTTATCGAAATATTCTGTTATTTTTTCCTTCAGTAATGTTAAGTCTTCTTTGAATGTAAGTATTGTGCAACCTTTGATGTCATAGTGTGTTTGAGGAAGAGTATTTTTGACAATTTCCTTTATTTGCTCATTCGGTGTCATTGAAATCGGTAAGTTTTCACGATAGAACCAGTTTCTGTCAGATTTATATATCTTAGCTAAGTCATAAAAGCTCTTGTTGTTTCTTCTGACTAAATGTAACATAACCATATCTTTATCTTCTTCATTTTCCAACTCTTCAGTATAAATCATATACTTATAACTCTTTTCCTTTCCTTTTGGTACTGAACGCGGTATTCTTTTCTGTATGCTTTTGTCTTTGGATTCAATGACTTCATCTTTTGCTTGAAGTTTCTTTTCCATCTCTCCACGTTCTGCTTTATATAGTTCATCTAGCATCATGAAAATATAACAAGCATAACGAGGTGAAGCCCACATTGCTACAGCGTTTACTAAAAGTCTATGAACATAATAACCTTTCAAACCAGGAGCCAAATTCTTGCGATTTTCATACGGAATCTCTTCTCTCGGTTTTCCGAGAGAAGCAATCATATGAGGAAATTCTTCTAAAAGTTCTTTTGTCTGTTGGTTTTCAAACCAATGATATGCTTGCTTTGTAGAACGAAGAGCATTCATTATACTTTGCATTTGGTACATGTCATCTTGACTGAACGAATGAGACGTAACTGTTTGTTATACTGTATGTACTCGTATTCTTCATTTATAGCTTCATGGACTATAACTGTTGTTGTGTTCTCTGATGTTGTCATTACTGTCTTTACATACAAAATAAAAAATAAATAAAAATAAAACTAACTTTATTTTCTGACTTTCACAAAAGACCAAAAATAAACGCTTTACATGTATTTTTCAGGCAACTTCGTCAAATAATTTTATAGCTTTATCTATCTCATCTACTTCAAACGTTTCTTAACCTTTCGTGGAGCACCATAACATTTTCTCAAAAACTTCAAGCAGTTCTGTTTCAGCAGCTCTCATATCATTAACAAACACAACCTTGACTCTATTGACTGTACTGTCATATCTTTGAGTTATATTATATGTCCTTCCTATCTTATATCTTTTTGTGTTGAAGTCCTTCGGTTTCTGAACGATATAAAGTAAGCCTTCACTGCAACGTTCCGTATCGAATGAACCATATGTTATGAAGTTATATCCAACAACTGGTCTAACCATAACAAAACTATTGGTATAAGACTTTTGTCTATAAGATATGCTCTTGTTCCATGAAATGCTACTGATATCATAAGCTCAGGATTTCTTGTCAAAATTTTCTGAGTTGAAGCATTTCTAACCCAGTCTTTGTTTTCTTTCCAGATGGTGTTATAATGTCTGACAAAGAATATTTGTTGTATTTCTTTGAGTATCTTACGTTTAAATCACCTATTCTAACCACTTTGGTGTCATTGTCTATCTTTCTAACTGTTTCAAACTCAATGTTTGTCATTACTGTCTTTACATACAAAATAAAAAATAAATAAAAATAAAATTAGCGTTATTTTTCTAACTAATAAATTCATTATTTTTGTGCTGATTCAATAAAAATAATTTTTTAGGTGAAGAGGTGAGATCTCACCTTTTTTCCACCTAATTTTTCACCTCTTTTTTCACCTCTTTTTTCACAAGCGTTTTACATGAATTGTACGATGTATATTTGAAATCCTAAACAATTTCGTAGCTTCAATTTCTTCTTTTAGTACATCGAATGTTTTAATCATGCCGAAAGTCTCTTTATATTTCTTCTTGACGTCAGACAGAAGGAAATCTTCTGCAGTTGGATAGTTTTTTGTTCAGAAATGTCACATATCCATTTTATCTTCTGCTGGCTTTTCTGCTTCTTTCTTTAAGTCTGCATAGTCGTTTCGCATTCTTTCTATCTCTTTGACTGAATAGTTATATTTTCTTATTGCTGCTTTACATTTTGAACATTGCGGATTCATTTTTGCGTTATACATTGAAATAAAACCAGCTAGAACAACTAAGGCGTCAATGGTTTTCTTTAACTCAAAAGCTACTGTTTTAACTGTTCATGCATACCTTACCTCTTCTATCTTTATCTCTTATTTCCCAAACACATTTTGCAACTAATGAAACAAAGTTATCGTATGTCTTAAACTCCACCGATTTATATATGTCAGAAATATTTTTATAAACCATGTCGCAATCTTTGTCCATAACTTTATGGTTGCAATGATATCCTAGAAACTCATAATTTACTTTACGTATGAATTTCTTTATTTCTACTGAGTCAGTTGGTTTCACTTCTATTTCGTCGAATTCAGGAATAGTTAGTTTTTGCTGTTGGATTTCAGGCAATTTGGGTAAATGGTCAATAATGTCCTGCATTTCATAAAGATACTGTTCATTTGTTTCATCTTTCGCACTACAGTCTAAATTACTTGTTAAAAGTTCTTGCTTTATCTTCTGGATTTCTGTTTCAAAAGTATATGAAGAAGGAATAAAGCTTTTCATCTCTACCAACATTGACGTAGGATTCATGACTAGCGAGTTTGGTGCTGTATTGTTTGAATTGTTGTTGTGCGATTGTTGAAATCATATCTTTTATACAAAATAAAAAAATAAATAAAAATAAAACTAACTTTATTTTTTCTATCTTAAGGAAATTCATGAAAATTCACGAGAAAGCTAAAGCAATCTGAGCCGCTAAGCGGTGAGGGTGAAAAACAGGTGAAAAACGGGTGAGATCTCACCTCTTCACCTAAAATATATTTTTGGTGTAAATTTATGTTAAATAAATGGTACCATTAAATGATATCATGATTGTTCTCATTCATGTCTGATTTACATCTAATGAAAAAGTTTAGAAGAATTTTATTATTCTTTCTGGTTTATTTTTTCTTTCCAGTACTCCCGCTCTAATGGTCCCAGATGTGTTGGCTTTGACTCTCTCAAGTTCTTAGATGGTATACACATTTCAACGCCTCCTTCATATCTTACTTTATAAGTGTCATCGTTTATGTTGTAGCCAAGTATTTCAATAACCACTCCTCGCTTTGCTTCGTCAATGGTTTCAGCAAGTTTGCCATTACTACTTTCAACTAATTTATGTCGAGGGTAAAACGCAATAGAGTCGTCAGCTTTTATAAGATATCCATTACCTTGCGTAGAGTCTACGATATAATGTTTCGACTTAACCTTAAACGTTTCTTTGTCAACGTTTGTCGTCAAGAACTACACGAACTTTTGTTCCAGGAATGAGAGTAAATTGTGTGTTGAATTTCTGATATTTTGTGTTTGGCTTCGTTTCTTTTGTATATACTTTTCTTCTTGTTGTTGTGTCATTGAATTTGGTGTATGCCTGTTGTAGAATGTGTTGAGGAATTATAACTTCGAGAAAATGTTTCATTGTTTCTTCGGTAAAGTCTCGCTCTTGGTTTAAATCTCTGAGCGTTCTTATGAAGCGGTTTATGAATGCCGAGTATGTTATGGTTATGGTCTTCAGTAGTGTAGTGAGTTATGTTATGCTTAATGAGAAAATCTGTGATTTCATTGCTGAGGTATGCACTGTCTTGGTCTGATGTTAAAGTACTTGGGCTATGTTCTGCTACAAACTTTTGTAAAACTCTTAACACTTCACGAGTTCCTTTATTCCTCATTGGATATGCATATGCTTTACGAGTGTTAACATTAATGAAGATGAGGAATGGTTTATGTCCTCCTTTTTGCTTTGAATGAGAGTGTCAAATTGGTATGCGTCAGGAGTGTTGGAGTAAATTGGTAAAAAGTAGTCGTAAGGGTTTATTTTTGTTTGATGTACAACATTTTTGTCAAAGAACCTTTTCACTTCAGCTCTGTTAGTAAATCCCCAACTCTTTGCAGCTTCATTGAACTTCTTAAATGACCTCCATGGATGTTGTTCGAATACTTCTTTCAAGCTCATTTATGTAAAGTTAAAGATTTTATTCTAGGCTCAAGCGCGTTCATTGAACGCGGTACCATGCGAATATAGTCACAAATGGTGGCATATAATCTGCACCCGAGCCTGTTGGATTTGTTGTGAAAGTGTGTGAATGATTTCCTGTGGTTCCACAGAAAATACCTGCGCTTGAATCTACTGGGTCACTTGAAATATCATATCTATGCATTCCCTGTCTATCCGAACCTGCTGCAAGATTTGTATAACCTCTTTTTGTTATTGAATGTGAATGATACCTGTTGTGTTTGTAGTTCCTGTATGAGTGTGCGGTGGAAGTTTGCTTCTTTAATTTTCTTCGAACCTCCTGTTTGCTTTGAAGAGTTAGCACAGTATAAGAATTTATCTACAATCTGCTTCCACGTACCAAAACCCAGAACTGTTGCTGGATTTGTTGAGTTCATTGACGTATAAATAGAGCCTATAGGATATATGGTTTCAAGAACCTGAGTCTTCATTGTTTGAAGTTCATGTTTAACATTTATAAATTCCATTGCCATCTACAATATTTATATTGTTTGTTATTAAACCATTAGGAAAAGTAGGAGGATAAATTCTTTGTTCTTGTACAGTTGCACCGTTTCTTCCTGTTTTTGTTACTATTTCGATGCATGCTTTAATTTCTTTAATCTTGATTGTTTGAAATTCTTCATGTGTATGGTTCTTGTCGGCTTTTCCATTAAGCGCAGCATTTTTCCGACTTCTTTGCATAATTTTCATCTACATAAGTTTTGTCGACTTTCTTATCTAACATTTTTGGTAGTTCATATGCTTCAAAGTTTCTGGCATGATCTTCGATATTCCTGCAACTGTTATCTAAATTGTTAAGAGTATCTTTTACGCTTGTACTCGGATTCTCTAAAGGTGCACTTGAACCCAAATCATAGTTCAATATTATGTCGTCTGCTCTAACAGTAGTGAAGGATTTATGTGTATGTTCTTTGTCAGCTTTCTTATCTAACATTTTTGGTAGTTCATATGCTTCAAAGTTTCTGGCATGACCTTCAATGTTCATACATCTGTTATTAAATTGTTTAGTGTATCTTTTACACTTGTACTCGGATTCTCTAAAGGTGCACTTGAACCGAGGGTATAGTTCAATATTATGTCGTCTGCTCTAACAGTAGTGAAGGATTCATGTGTATGGTTCTTGTCAGCTTTACTATTTAATGTAGCTTGAAGTTCATTTATATCGGAGATATTGTGCTTATGAGATTTCAAAACTTTGTTCATTGCTTCAAGTTCATCTTTGCTGGCTTTACTTTTAATAGCATCTTCAAAAGTTATTTTTGCCTTAACTCTCAAAGTAAATCTTGGTTCAACTAATACACCGTTAACATTGAAAGTAGAGGCATAAATTTCACCGGTATAACCAAATGCTTCTGGTGCTTTAGCTACATCATACTGTACAGTACAGCTTATGTCATAACCTTTAGCACGAATGTATTTATATCTTCTTTCATTAACATTTTTTGTTTTCGCTTCATCACTTCGTGTTAAATATCCATGGTAGTCCGTTATAATCTGTTCGTCTGAAGTTATATAATGAACGTGGTTCTTGACTTTATCACTCAGAGCTAAAAGCTCATTTTTGTCTGCTTTTTCGGCTAATTTCTCATTAACATCATTCACTTCTAATTCAACTCTTCCGCCAGAACTCTTATTATCATTAATCTTTTTCATTAATTCGGTAATTACGTCATAAAGACTATATTCTGTTTTCGGTTCTGTAAATAATGAGTCAAAATTTCTTTTCATCATTACATCGCTGACATTAATGATATCAGCTATACCTTTTTCATTTATTCTCTTCATTAATTCTGCAATAATGACGAATATATAATCTGTTAATTTATTCTCTTCATCGAGGGTTATAGAATGTTTTGAAATTGAATCATTAACTCCTCTAAATAAATCAATAACTTCAGGATACACGTTTTTAATGTCTCGAATAACCCGACCAGTATCCTGTTGTTCATGTTCTTCGTTCCCGTCGTTACGTGGTTTTATATCTCTAACCATCATCAACGCAGCCATAACCGGAGGGTTTGTTGCTATCTGTTCGAAAATCCGTCCGTTATGTACGGTATATCTAAATAATTTCTTTGTGTTTGTTAAAACATTTGAAACAAGTCTTTTAAAACCATCTACAAAATTTCCTGTTTCACCTAATGTTCTTGCAGCATTTACAAGCTCACCCATTCCCGCTTTTGACCCCAAAAACGTCCATATTGCATTTATTTCACTCTGTATAGTTGTCCATTCAGCGAAACTAATACCTGCATTCGCTAAGCTGAAAATGAAATTCAGTGGATCGAACTTAATTCCACCTTCTTTTTCAATTTCAACGAACTCACTAACATGAGATTTTAAGTATTCTTTCGTTAAAATTGTTTTCCCCGATGTTATGTCATTAACGAAACTATCACCGTCAAAAGTTAACGAATTCAATTTCGTCGTTGATGCTTTTATTTCATACACCGCTTTATCGATAGTTTTTGGCTCACCTTCTTTAGAAGCATATGAAACATTAATGAATGAATTATATGTATTCGTGAATGAGTTAAAATCAATGATTTTCATTAATGACGCCTTTAATGATTCATTTACTGTCGAATCCCTTAAAGTAATTAATGAACTGTCATTTATGAAAGGTACACTGCAAACCGTCGAGTTTGGATCAAATGCTGTAGTTGGTGCAGGAATATTAATGATATAAGTCATTAAATCATTAAGTGACGTAAATAATGTTGTCGTTTTTGATTTAATTTCTTTAGCATCTGTTATATATGGTAATTTTATTTCTGTAGTTTCTGAATTAAAGATATTCGCTAAAATGTTTTGTAAACTGTTTTGAACAGCTGTGTAAACCGTTGAATCCGGAACTCTTACGATTTCACCGTCCTTAATAAAAGGCATTGCACATGGTGTAGTGCTTGGGTCAAATCTTTTTGGGTTATGATTCAACATATATTCTAATGCTTCATAACAGACCTATATACGGTTGTATTATCTTTTTCAATAATTTCACCGTCCTTTATAAACGGCATAGTACATGGAGTTAAAATAGGGTCAAACTTTTCATAGTCCTTCCATGTTATATATTTCTCAGTATTTCCATCAGAAATAACAATATATTTGTCAGTAAGTGTGAGAGAGTATTGACCAAAATATAAACGTTTAGCTCTGTCAGCTTCATACGCATATGCAGCTATACTCATATTTTAATGAGAATAAAATGTTGTTCTATTTGCAAAGTACAGACCCAAACGAATACGGGACAGTAAAGCTACAAACAAACTTAGGTCTACAGAATGAGGCGCTTGCATTCAGAATGGTTGACTTCAATACTATCGCTTCATTCGTTATAACAGATGAAACAGATTTCATGGAGATTGAAATAGATGGAAAGAAGCACGAAATAAGATTTCACAATAATGTAGAATATAAGATGGAAACATTAGCTGGAGTGTTAAATGCTCTCATAAATACTACAATAAACAAGGATAACGAAGAAAACTTAATGAATGTTAAACTTATTGCAGGAGTTTTGAAGTTCAGTTATGTGAAGGAGTTTAAGATACCAAGAATGAGTCATAGAGTACAACTTCTTTTGGGTGCATACCATATGACATTTCCTTTGAAAAGTGTTGACAAAACGATTGAGATGAAATCTGTTCCATACGTATGTTATGGTAATTGTTTATACATTGAGTCTAAAAATAGCTAATGTCACAGGCATATTTCAGGAGTTAATAGTAAAGGTTCAGTAGAATATAAATCCTTCTGTTATGCAGTCAATTCAATGTTCATTCCAAACGTTCCTGTCATAGCAACTCATTTAGGTAAATGGGTTCGCATTAGTCCTCATAATTTGAAAGACATGCAATTCAGACTTGTTGACTTTCAAGGAGAGCCTGTAGAACTGAAGGCACCAGTGCGAATGACTGTTGAAGTTGACTTTTTAGAAAATATTAAATGCAACAGCTTACAAGAGAACTCAGAGCTAAAAATATAAAGTATGAATGTTATGTATTAGGTCATGAACTTTGGTTGTTGCTGTTTGATGAAACAAATGAGTTAGTTATGTCAGTCAAGAGAACAGAAAAATATTGTGTTAGTGAAAACTGCACCAAGTCAATAAGATTAGGTTTGCATTATGAAGATGAGTTCGATACTGTTGAAGAAGTTTTGGATAGATATTACAAATTGCTAACTTGAAATTTTTTGACTGACGGCGCAAAGCGCCAAGATGGGCTCAAAGAGCCCTCCTGACTGCTTTTAATTTACTAAAACATATTTCAAACAAAGTTTTATATTCTGTTGAAAGTTTTGTATATTCTTTCGAATATTTATACTTAAACTCAACTCCTGTAGTTCCTGGTGTTTCAATGATGCGGATGTTACCTATTTTCATGAATAGTGGAGTTTGACCACAGCATTCGATTTCAGGGTCGAGATAGTCAATGACACATTGTTTCCCTGTTATTCGTGAGATAACATTTTCAAGGTCCTCCTTTGTTAGAATTATTTGGTTCTTGCTTATAAGATTTGTCAAAAGCTTCTTATCGTCTTTGAGTAAAATTGTTTGGTATAACTGAAGAAGGTAATGGTCTACGTTATCTGAAGGATTTGTTTGAACATTTGTGTAAGGATTGTCGTTGGCTTCTCTTGAAAGAATTTGGTCCAGTGGTGGATACTCTAACTTAACATCTGATGTAGCGTTAGCGTTTGAAGCTGTGTTTAAATTCACCGACTTAAGTTCTGGTTCTTTTTCTTTCAAACACTCTGAACTATAGTTCTTTATGACAATATTGTTTGTCGTTCGTGAGTCAACATTTGATGTTGGTTCAATTGGAACATTAACGGCACCAGCTAAGATGGATTTGCTTCTCATTTCATATAGAATAAAAACCTTTTATATGTATGAAATGAACAATATACTCGACAAGGGTTTGAATGTAAAGCTAACGAATGAAAATATTGTTGAATTCACTGAGACAGGTGCTGTGTATAAAGATGTAGAACTACTGAACAAAAGAGCTAAGGGAAGAAGCAGGAACATGAACAAAGGGTGGAAGCCTATAAAAATTTATGTCAATGATGGCTCAGGAGGTTCAAACATAAAGTATGCAGAAAGTTATAGAGTTTATGCTCTCAAAGGTGAAAAGCCTTCATTTAAGAACAGCTATTCTAACGCATATCCTCAAAAGCTAACGGATGGGGAAGTGGATGATATGAATGACAGCAAAAATATTAACAGAAATGGCGACAGAGATGCATGGAATTTGTTTACCATCAGTCAATTGAAGGTTAAACTTTAAAACAATGTTGGTCGTTCCCATGGAATATTTTTGACTTTAATGGTATTAGTCATGATATGAATCTCAAGGTATGAACGAGGAGAGATGAGAGACTTATATGCTTCCCAAATTTCTTCAAAAGGTAATGTTATACCTGACTGTTTCCAAATGAGTTCAATATCATAGCGTGAGAAACCTTGAAAGATAACGAAGTCAGTTATGAGACGTTTTATGTTTAAAGCTAAAAACCTCCATGTTTGCATAAGTATTGCTACAGTTAAATGGTAATGTCTGACTTTAGTAATGATGTTAGCTAATGGTGAGTCTGGTTTTGACACTAAACCTTTTCCGGCGAAGTCGTCACAAACTAATAAAGTGTTTGAAGGATATTTTTTGAAGGGGTATTTTGAAAGTTTTGACAGAATGTAGTTTGTAAGTCGTTTCATATCGTAAACTCCTGAGTACTGACGTAAGTGGTGTTTGTCAATAATTCTTTCCATCTCCTCAGAAGTCTTTTGCATTCCTGACTGTATAAATTCAACGATGGCATAATATTTCCTCTTACGTCGAATGTAACGTTGAAGAAATTCAATGAGTTCACTGTCTGGAACTTTAACGACAGAGGCTTGAACTTTTGACATAAATGTTTTCGCTGTTGAGTCCATAGAGTCTGAAGTTGCTGATATAATGATTTGGTCATAATATGAGTCGTTTCCTAAACGTTCTGTTATGAGTATATGACGAATGAGGTTAAATGTCTTACCTGAACCCATCTTTCCACAATAGAAATAAACACCATTTGAACAGAACTCATAGTCCTTACTGAAAGGAAGAATAAGAGAAGAGTTAAGTTTGTCTGTAGTTTCATTCATGTCTTCATCTACGTCATGTATTAAATGCTTCATTTTTCTCCATTAAAAATGCAAGTCAGAAATATTCAGAACATAGCACCGAGTCTAACTGACAAGAGTATAAAGATATACTATGAACACGTTATGATGAAACCTACCAAAATTCAAGAAAGTCAGTATACTTATGAATATCCAAGACACTGGGTAGAGTATGTAGGAGGTGAGAAAGCTATTGAAATCAGACAGGTTCGAAGTATTCCAGCAGGAAGAACAATATTATTGAAGAACTTTAATGTTTTGAGATATAATGATGAAACAAAGAAGCAAGATAGTTTCCCTGTTGCTGTGTATGTGAACTTAGATACAGGAGATGACATGAAAGTTTTTAATACAAAGCTTCAAACGGTAGTGAGAGAACAACTGACTGCGGAAGGACATCCATTACCTTCAGAAGTTACCATAGCATATAATTTTGAAACAAACTCAATAGATTTTAAAGTCATCTCTGCAAAGAAGTCAGGTTTTACATTTAATGAAGCAGATGTATATTCGAATGAAAACTTCAAAGCTATTGCATGGTTAGATAATGACGATTGCTTTAAGAAAATATTTAAATACAGTGACTCAACGATGTCAATAGATGACCTTCGTGGAATGTTACCATCGACGTTTACAGTAGAAGGTTCAGCAGGATTGCTTACAAGATTGTCAATTGGTGGTATTTGGTCTCGTGAGAACATTGTTATAAAATCCAGTATAAGTGAATTTGCTGAAGAATCTATATTATGTCTTTCAAACTACATGTATTCGCCGCCGAAGCATTATAGTATAACAAACTTTGTCAGTAAGTTTAACATAAGACTTGTCGAACCTTCTTCAATGA